TGGAAAGGACTTCTGGAGGTCATCTTGTCCAACCCCATGCTCAAGCAGGGCTGCGTAGAGCCAATTGCCCAGGAAAACATCCATATGGCTTTTGAATATCTCCCAGAATGGATGCTCCACCGCTTCTCTGGGCAACCTGTGCCAGTGTTCAGTCACCCTCACAGTGAAAGTATTCCAGGCACAGAAATAAGAAACTTGACCCATATCTTCACCTGACTGTTACAATGATCTCCCAATGCAAAAATGAGCCTGAAGGACTTGAAATGATCACTGGATGCATAAGAAAGGAGCACAACCACTAGAAATGGGAGAGCAGTACTGCCCTGAGGTTTTGCCTGAATACTCTCCCCAAGTCTGGAGCTGATACTGCGGTGAAGTATGCAGAAGTACTTGTGAACCAGGGAAAAACACTGGCCTTAGGGGGCTTAATGATGTCTGCTACATGCTACATCTGGCAATTAGGCAAGCTAATCGCTTCCCAAAAAGTTAATTTGTAATCCATCCTTTCCCTTTTTTTTTCCACTATGAAAGAAAATGGAATAGAAAAAAGGTTTCCCAAGAGTTTGAGTGACGTGAGCAGACTTTGCAGGAGTCCACAGAAGCTCAGGGATTTTGAGGAAGTTTTTCATGGCAAAAGGTTTGGGTGCTGCAGGACACCTTCTGAAGTTGGTTCCCCCAGAGGTATCCTGGTGGCACCTACCTGAATAGCGTGGTGCTACCTTGCTAGGCAGGATGGAGAAGAGAGGGTGTCTTGGCTGCTGAAAGGGCCTCTAGGCTCTCTGGTAGATCCGGGGTGAGGAGGGGGCTGCACAGCTGCCCGAGGACATGCAGTAAAGAGCACTGACTTACTTTTGAGATCCAATTTCTCTTAAACATTCGTAGCACCTGATCAAAAGCTTTACAGGAAAGGAGGAAACGCACTGTGTGTTTTGTTCTGAAGCACGTTGCCAGAAAGATGACTAACTGAGCTACCTGACAACTTTTAGGAAATATTAAATGAGTTCATATGCAATTGTGTTTTTGTGAAGCTGCATTTTTAGGGCACAGCTGTTTTGCTTCCACCCATCCTGTCAAGCAATAAAAATTTGGATGATCAAAAGCTGATATTAAATAAAAACAAAACAAACAAAAAGCCACCCCGAAAGTTACTTTTTTTTCGTTTTAGGCTGCGTGATTTCCACCTCCCTGTGTGTTGGTTTCTGAGCCTTTAAGGTATATAATTGGGTCATACTTTCCGTTTTTCTCAATACAGTCCTCAAACTGCAAAAGTCCTATAGACTTAAAAGGGAATTGGTATTTCTTCCTTAAGCTTTTTTGGAGTAGTGGGGTTTGAGGTTCTCAGGTGATTTGCTGATTCCAGGTATGGGGGCTAAATGAAACGAGTATCGTACATGTGGGCAGCACTCTTTGTAAGCCTGCATTTGTGTCTTTTCTTGCAGACTGTTGTTAGTGTGTAGATGGGTGTACTGTGTGGCCACCAATATAGGACAGGTATTGTATGTTGTTTTGGGGTTTTTTTGTGGTGTGTTGGGGGTTTTTTTTGTTTGGGTTTTTTTTCCCGATGGTCCCAGAATAGAGTACTTGAGTTAGGGATAAGGTCTTTAGAAGTACTCAATGTCTCTTCAAAACGGCTATGCAAATCCCAGTTTTTGCACTTAAAATTAAACTGAGGTGTGGTTAGTGTTTAAAGGTGTAAATTATGTAACCAGATAGTAAATAAGTTCCTGATTTTCTATGGGTTTGTGGTAGTAATTCTTAGCCCTGCTTTGACTTGAGTAAGATCTTAATTTATGCTAGTATTAAAAATAAGCTTGATAAATTCACTCCCTTACATTCATGAACACAATTTGGTATATTGTACAGACTTTACTACTGGCAGCATCAGGGCTAAAAAAGCTCAGAAGAAAAGTAAATGCGATTGTTATTTATTTAGGACTCACATGAGGTGAATTCACTGTATCTGCTGTATTACTGTAATTATATACTATATTAGTATATCGATGGTATACTGCATCTTACTCTAAATTACATATTATTTTCCTCCATTTTCAAGCAGTTGATTCACCCACAAATTCATAAACTAATGCAATAGATTTCCCCAGAATAACCACAGTGGTTCTACTTCCTTTCAGCAAATGCATTATACAATTATAGGGGACTTTAAAGCTGTGAACATGCAACTTGCACTGACTTCCATCAGAGGACCGGACCCCAATCTTTGCAGAATCGACTTCCTCTCTACCCAAATAATTAGAGCATTTGGTTCCTCTTACTGGTTTTAAGCTTAGTTTGCCATCTGTATCCTACTAACAATATGGTTTTGCAATAGATGTTAAAAAAAAAATTAAAAATGCAGTAAACCGTATTGACAAAAAAATACCCCAAACTCTACATGCAAATGTTGCTGGATTCTGATGTCTTATTTAAAATAGTCCTTAGTCTCCATTTCTCTCAACTAATTGTCCTTTTCTGATTTTGAATACTTGAGCACTTACTGAGGGAGGCCTGTAGGTTGGCGTGCCTGAAGACATTTGTTGCTGTGGTATCCTATTTCTCACTTGACAGACTTCCCTCAGGCTTTGCATCCTTAGAAACAGAGCTGGTCACGCAGTTTGCAACCTCACTGGGAACAGTGACCTGGAGTCGCAGTGACAACTGGCAGGGAAGGATCTCCTCGTAGTGCTGGTAGTAGTGTGGCGCTCCGTAATGCTCTGCGTGTTCACCCAGGCAAACTTCTTTTCACAGCTGTGGAGATTAATCACCTACTGGGCTTGTAGATTAATTTTATTAACAGGCACATACCGGATCATTAGTTTAGGCTCATAGCTTGATCTCACGCTTCTCCTATTCTCTTCTGACAAGTGGAAACATTTTATAAATAGTAAATGAAGTGAAAATGGGATTAAAAAATGAAAATAATGCTATGAAGTATGAAAACTGTGCTGTTGTTTAAATAAGTTGGTAGTTGGAGGAGACATTTTACCAAATTGCTTTTTCAAGTTTTTTTTTCCTCTCTAATTTTTGATTACATTTTTTTAACTCTGCATTTTAAAACCCCAGTTATTTATTGTGGTTGGTATATAGTTTATTAGATGCTCAGCAGATAGCTTACAACTATAAATTTTACACTAATAGTATAATTGCAGAAGCTTGGTTGTGTGTTAGGATGTAAAACCAGAAAAATAACATTCCTCAGCTGGGCAGAATACTTGAGGGAATGAATCTTCTTTTCTGGCTGTGCAGCCACAGTGCTCGTTAATGGGAGCAAAGGCAGAACAACCCACGTAGCAATCCATTAATGGGGCTTTGTAGTCTTTCTGTTTATGAGGAGACATCAACAACGACCCATTAGGTTAGAAACCTATGCAGAGAGCCATGTTCCTCTGGACTGCCAAAAAGAAGGCTGGTAGGGCATCCAGAGAGTCTGCTGACTTTCATCTGTTGGGCCCTATATCTGCTAGCACTTAATGCTCATGGACAAAGGTTTCTTGAATTCTCAAAAGCTGTGGAAATCAGGCTAGTCTGTTTTGTTGCTTTGTCACAAAAGTGCTTATTATGAGCAGAAGTGGGAGTCCTTCAAATTCATACAGAAAGCGAGGCAGGAGGGCTGCTGTCTCTCGGTATTGTATTTCTAACAGTTAATTACAAATGTTTCCTGCACATTTGACAGTGAATTGTAATGGACTGTAATTATGGCATGAATATGTGCTGTATTTTGATTGGAAATCCATTGCTAATTAGTTAAGTGCAAATCTGAATGCTATAACAACAAGACGGTGGCTGATTTACGCATCTGGTTTAATTTTTCCATTCTGAGACAAGATGAAGCTGAGATTTTTATTTTGAAGTTTACAGTGAACTTTTAAAAACTATGTATGAAGTCACTCTCTTCCGTAAATTCTACCTTTTGACTTCTTCACAACTGGTCAGTTACTGTCAGTGGAAGCTCCGTGTCTCATTTATATAGGTCTCTATGTAGACATGAGCATCTCCTACCTTTACAGTTGTTAGGAGCTGAGCACAGAGCGCAATGTTTGTGTCCCCTGATGGAACCCTCATGGCATGACACAGCCTATTACTGGTTGTATAAACCAGCTTGTACGTTAGCAATGCCTCAGTTGGGTGATAGCAGTGTGTTAATCCCAGCTCAGTTCTCCGGGCCACCAGTCGCCCTGTTGACATCAGTGGGGCTTAAAACATTACGGGTTTGGATTCAGGAGTGGTGCAGGCTGGAGTGTTATTTATGGACAGCCACAAGGCATTGGCAGTGACCAGCTCGGTGACATGAGATGCTCCTTAAAATTTGCTTTTTGGGCAAGGTGAGAATGTGGAACCAGCATCCTCCCACTTTATGGACCTGAAAACGTTGAGCTTTTAACCAGTGGGGTTTGGCTTTTAAAAATAAATAAATGGATGCCTGGGTGAGTTTAAATTGGGGAATTAATTGATTCTCTGTGATTGTTGCAGAGTATTTTCCCCATTGAATGGTGATGAGATAATATTTTGTTTAAGCAAAACACCATCAGTCTCTTGAATTACCGTTTTTTTTTTTTTATTAGGAGCGAGGAAACTCTTGGTTTTGGTTTTAAAGACTTCTGTCAGTTTTTCCTTACTTTTAAAGGTGGATAGGCTTTGCTAAGCGGCAGTGTTGCCGGAGGTCACAGCTGCTGAAGGAAGCAAATTAACATACAGTATGTTAATTTGTTTTCCCTGTCCTTCAGTCACAGTGAGGAGAGTCTAAATATTTCAGTGACTGAGACTTTGGATTCCCGCTCCTTGCTACACAACAACAACAACAACAACAAAAGCTATTTATAGCAATAACAGTTAGCAGCGATACAGCAGCCTCAGACAGCTATAGGCAGCGTCTCACCATGAGCACAAATGTTAACTGCTTTTGCACTGAATGCCTCTGTGAAAACAAAGAGCACTGAGAAATAAAGATCAAAGCAAAACCAAAAGAAAGATTTTTTTATTGCTATGTTTTACTTTGCTGGCAGACCAGAGCAAAGGTTTTCTGAACATTTAAAAGATGAAAAAGGTGAAGAATCCCAGAAGCGATTTATCTTGAAGCGAGATAACTCTAGTATTGATAAAGAAGACAATCAGGTTGGTTCTCGGTTCGAGAGTTGCTGAAATTTGTTCTGTTTTTGAAGGTGGGCTGACTGATGTTATTGTTGTTCTTTTGTTGTTGCTCTCCTCCTCCTCCTCCTCCTCCTCCTCCCCTGCCCTCCTGCCCCCACTCCCCACCTCCTCTGGCGTACGTACCACCACCGTGGGTAGCATCCAGCCCCGGCGTGGCCGCTTCAGCCGTGGCAGTGTGTGGGGTTTGCATGGGTGGTTTGCTTGGCGCAGGACTTGCTGCATGCCCACGGGAGGGGGAATGCCGGCGGCTCCGTGGAAGGCTGTGTCAGTCGCATTTCTCAATGTCTCGCCTAACTATGGCAGTTGTTCCGCTCCCTTACAGCTTCCTCCTTCCGTTGTACCCATTCAGAGTTGGATTTCAGTATGGACTGGTGATAAGCTGATGTAGCCCAAAAAGGAGAGAGGAAAAAACCCAAAATTAAAAAAAAAAAAATAAAAAAAATGCCCCAAACATATGATGGTGAGGCCAGGTTGATTTTTTTTTTTTTTTTTTTTTTAAAAAAAACATCCTAAATTAAATTTTGACCAAAAAGAAATCAGTTTCATCTTCTAGTTCCCTCCCTCCTCCTGGTCCCTCACCACCTTTTACTGTCTGTGTAACTTACTTGCTTGTTGTGCATGTACTGTGGCAGATGTTCCCCCTCTGTGTTGCCTGTGCCATAACACTACCTTATCTTAGGTGAGCCCGATGAGTAGGGGAGCGCCAGGGAAATGTGTGTGTTTGTGCTGCCTTTAAAAGCAGGTGTTGTGCTGTTTCAATCCAGTGCAAGCTGTGTATGTGGAATATATTAAAAAAAAAAAAAAATTCAAAATGGGTTCTGACGTGAATTGCTTGTATGAGAAAATTCTCACAGGTAAGAAGACAGCGTATGTTTTCTTTGCTTAGGTTATATTTGTGGAGGGACAATGCCAGTGAGTCTCTCATTGCTGCTCTCCTTTGTTTTCAGTAAAAGACTGATTTTTTCTTTTTTTTTTTTTTCCTTTTTTTCCCTTTTTCTTTGACTTTGAATTGCTCATAGCAGCCTTGCCAGTTATGCTGCAGCTGAGTTGGCTTCGAAAGCAAACCCCAAGAGTTTTCAGGGTATGATGAACATGGGGATCAGCCAAAGGAAAACATCATGACCTGTCTCACCAGGTGCTGGGGTGTAGGGGGAGAAGGAGTAGTGCTTGAAACCCAATTGCCAATGAAGCATTTCTTGCTGGGGGTCCTCTTCTCCTCTCCTCTCCTCTCCTTTCCTCCCTCTCACGGCACTGCCATTTCCCGCACTGTGGTTTACCGAGAGGCACAAATGGCCGTTCTTTTCCCAGCAAAACTGAAGTCGAGGGTTCCTTTCTGGTGTGGAAATGGTGAAAGCTGGCGTGCTGGATATTTGGCACTTCTCCTCCTCGTACACATAGACCTTGGCAGGTTTCTTCTAGGGTTTGCAGCAGAGCTCTTTCTGCCTAGTTTCCCTCTTCCTTGATTTTGTAGGTAGCGCAGCGCTGCCTGCCCTCCTGCTCCTCGCAGCCTGTAGGGGAGTCGAGACATCTTAGCAGTCGAGAGCAATGACACTTAGGCTTGGGGTGAGAACACCCGGTTTTAGGACGGCGGGTCCACAAAAGCCGTGCAGAAAGCCTCCTTTCGGCCACTCGCTCTACGAACCCGCGTGCAGTATCTACCTGGAAACCCTGGGGTGCCCAGCCTCGCAGGGCGCTCCGGGCAGGAACGACAGCTATCGTTTTCATGCTTCATTTGTTTAAGTGAACATTTATTATTCTCAGCTGACACTTACTTAACGGCAGTTTTTAACAGCTCAACTTATATAACCCTCCTGGTTTTCTTTCTGCTCAGCAAAACAGAATTCTTCCATTTAGAGATGACAGACGAAGTAAATCAATTGAAGAGAGAGAAGAGGAGTATCAGAGAGTGAGGGAGAGAATATTTGCACAAGATGTGAGTAGTTGTTTTAATTGCCTCTTTAGTGCCAATACCTTCGCCGGTAGTCAGACAGTCTTGCCCCCCTCCGACATGGAACACCGCAGCTGGACTTGTCCTTGTGGAGCTGAAGGCGACAGGGAAGGGCGATTGGCGCAGAGGGTCCGAGAGGAGCTTGAGAGGTGCGGAGGTTGGTTTCTGGAGAAGGAGGTGATGAGAGTTGCAGGGAAGAAGGGTAGAGAGGAGATCAGGCCCAGCATGTTGTCTGGGGAGTGCTTACCCCGTGTCTTTGAATGTTCATGTTTGTGTGGTCTAGGTTTCCTTCTTTTCCCCCCCTCTCTTTTGCCAACCAAAGAGCAGTGATTTAAATGGACACTCTCAATAATTTCAAATAGTTGTGTTATTTCATATTTTGTTTCGAGCTGGATCAAATTTTGTAAGTGTCTTTCTGCAGAGCCTCCTCGTGGTTTTGTTTCTTTGGACCAGGGCTGTAGCACTAAGACACCAAGAACAAAGAAAAGCCAGAGGTTGAAAGTGGAATTGCATGGGTTTTTTGAAATGATTGATTAAGGAGCTGTACTTCTGCCATCAAAAAGAGTCGGTCACATTGTTGATGACTTTATTCTGAAAGGAATAAAATGAAATAGGCATTAAATTCCTGCCTTTACCAAAAAGCAGAACTTGCGCAACAAGCTATTTTGCTAGAGGAAAAGACTTAAATATGAAACATCTGTGAGTAGCACCTTGTATTCCTGAAAAAGGAAGAAAATCATGATTTGCTATAATACTGAAATGACGGGGTCCTAAAAGGAAAAAAAGAAAAAAGTCAACATTTTATTGTTTTATCTCACATTTCAGTGGGAGCTCTGCCACTAAGAGGAATATGGGAATAAATCCAATTAAAACTATTACTGAAAATTATATTTGGCAGTGTCCTTTTAAATTATAACTGCTCATATGTTGTAGAGCTAATAGTATAGATACCCTTTTGTTTAGCTCTGGTTTTGGAGTTGCACACATCCAAGTTATTTTTCTTTAGCAGAATACACTGAATAGTTTTAAGGTGTGTGTTGTCTCACTTGTGATACGTAATTTTGATTTTTAGTAAGTAACTTGCCCCATATAAATGTTTTTAGCCTCGCTTTTTCTTTCTTGATTGAGACAACTGCAGTAAAAGCAGAGGCCCTTTGGCTTATGTTTTGTTTTTGGCAAGTGGGTCTGATATAAATACTGTCACAGTATATATGGTCGAGTTGCTGAGTTGTTCGAGGGCTGCAAAAGCCTCTTTGCAACCTGTTCTCTACATGAAAGTTGCTGATTCTGGCTTATTACAGAGGAGCTTGTGCAAAACCAAAAAATCTTTGGGTTTTGAAGCAGACTTCAAATGAGACAAAATGCTGTTTAAAGGTACTATGTGGAAAGTTGTTGCCAAAACAGCGCAGTTTCTATCTCAAGCAGCAGCTAGAAATGCCAGGCTGGGGAATGGAGGTGACTGGAAAAGTGTGTTGAAACTTGCTCCAGAATGGGCTGCTGTTTTTCTCTTTAGGTACTTGAGTTTTAAAGCCAGGCAAGCAGTGAGCGTATTAATTGTCCACAGCAGGAGGTTATTGTGGTCCTTTGGGATAGCATCTCCGAGTGGCAGGACCATGAGTAACAGTGTGGTTTGTGGCAGGCATTTTAAATGGGTTGGGAGTGAGCATTTTTAAAGATCAGAAGTGTTAGGGATCTCTCCCTCTCTCTCTCATATCCACTCATTTGCTCTCTCTCCCTGCTATTGCAGGTGCTCCTGAGCATCGTAGTGCAGTGAATTTCAGCAAGCTGTACTAATAATATTAACAGGAATGTATGTCTTAGCTGAGCTTTTTCGAGTGGAGCGCTCCTCGCAGATACGAGGTGTTTTTTAAGATGATGTCAGTGGTTGTGGTGGTGGACAATGTCATGTTTTTTCAATTTTAGGAAAGACAGCAATGGCTTCCTGTTATAGGTGGCCACTTACTGCATGTAAGACTTCATAGTTTTAAAGCCCTCTGCAATCATTAATCAATCCAGTTTTCCCCAGGTTTCTCTGAGGTAGGTACCTAAGCCTTGTCATCCTGCAAATTATAGATGTAGAGAGACAGGGAGGGATTAATCATGTGGTATTTTTATTATCTCTATATTGTTTACACTGCTGTAGTCAAACCTTTATCAGTGCCTTGCTTATGAACCTTAGTAAAGGGATTATAGATTCTTCACTTCTAATTAGAGTATGCATGAAAAGAGCTTGCATGAGAGGTCTCCAAAGGGCAGCCATGAAGGTCAGGAGTACTGCCGTAACTTGTTGCACCTAGAACCCCCTCTCTAAACATGTTTGAGGTACCCAAAACACTTTGGATAACAGATCAGCCCAAGAGTCAGAACTTGGAACAAAATTTAGGAGGAAAAGGCAGTCTGGTGACAGGGGCAAAAAATTCTGTGCGTGTTTCAAGTGCTGTGAAAACTGTCTTAACCTGGACCCCCCACACCAGCCAACAAAAAGCTTGCTTGTCCTTCCTTGGCTTTGGCAGCACTCTAGAGCGCCAGATATCTTCATTTCCAAGTGGGAAGCTTTTAACAAAATAAGTATGTTAATGAATAATGCCATCATTATGATAGTCCTTATGATGATTAGTCTTATATTAGTCAGTTTAAATTATACTTCCTGGCAAGTTTTCCATCTGCTGTGTTGGTTATCATAAATTTTGACAAGAGGACCGGGAGGTTTTCATGACTCCTGTCATGTATAGAGTCATAGCAAGTGGCAGGGATTGAGAAGCATGTTAATGTGATATCTTAATAAACGGATCGGTGAAGAAATAAATAGTTAATAAATGTGGTTGTTCCAGCTCACTGAAATAAGAACTACAAAGTGCACCTCAAACTTTTCAGGCTGCTAACAGTAAAACAGTGCTGCATGAGCTCTGTTATGCTCAAAGCTAATTTCAAGGTTATTTTTTAATTGCAAAGCCTACAACCTTCCTTTTTAAAACATGTTTTGGTTGGAACCATAGTTTTACAACAATTTTTGAATTTTACAACCAAGTTCACTGGAGCAGAGGACCCGGAGTATCTGGGTCTTGCAAAGAAGTTTCTTGTCTGAACTGCTTTAGTTGCTTTTAGCAGGTTGAAAAGAGATTGTCCGAGAAAGGCAAAGGAAAAATGTAAAAGAATAATAATAAAAAAGTGTATGTTGTTCTTTCCCTGTGCATTAATTCAAATTGTAGATTTAGCAGAGAATATCAAATGCGTGCGTAAGTGGTACACTATGTTTGGCTTTTAAGCATGCGGAAAATTGATTCTAAAGACTAGCAATCAAATTACGTGGGGGAAATTTCATTCTTCAAGGTTAACGCAATGTATAACCTCATGAGCCAGAATCACATAAGGACCATCCATTGTTCATAAATGTATTTTCTAGTAATCACTTTGTATTCACTGAAAAATGTAGATGTTTTATTACTTACACAAATGCTAGAATTGCCCATGGTACACATGGAACTTATTAAAGCAAATATGCTACAATTTTTATTTTTTGTTGTTAATCATAACAGCTATTTTTGACTGGCTGTATTCTGAAGAGCCAGATCCTTTAGATAAAATAAATCATGATTCCTCTACTTAAGGAACCACTGAGGATCTTTATCACTCTGATTAAAGAGAGTCATGAAAGAAATATTTGAAAAGGGTTCTTCAGCCTGTCCTATCTTCCTAGTAGGAAAAAAATTGGAAGAGGGTTTAAAATTAATAAAACCAAAACAAAGACACGCCTTCTTTTGGCTACCATAAACCTGTAGGTACTAAAGCTCCCATACTGCTGTACAGAGCCTTTGTTTATGGCTGCAGATCAAGCAATAAGCATTAGCTGGAAGATAGAGATTTATCACGTCTTGTTAACTGATGTGAAAATGATTACCTGATGGTATCCACTGCAGGATATTGCTGCATGTTAATAGTTATCTGTGTTGGCTAATGTAATTAAAAACAAGTGCAGCAACCCCCCCAGTATACCTAGTGCACTGGCAGGGCTGATGAACGTTTTCCAGTTGAGACTTTAAAAGGCTCTGGGAAATTGGAAGAGTGAAATTCTTGCTTCATACATGTCAATTAGTCATACAAAGCACCCTAATGGAAATCTTGCATGCAGAGGTCTCTGAGGGGGTGAATTTGTAGGTAATCTTACCTAAGTTTTTTTCCTTCTGTAGGTTTGTTGTCAGTGTCTTTGAGTATACAAGAGCCAAATGTTTTGAGAATGTTTTTGGCAACAGCTGTGCTGTGTACTTAAGCTTTCCAGGTGCTTTAAATTGAGCATTATTGATGCTATAGATCAGGAAAGCGAGTCCTGACCTTGTAGTAGCTAAATTGCTATCCAATTGGAATTATTACAGACTCTAAGTCTATAATGCAATTGATAGCAGTTCCCATCAAGACACTGAAAAGGGAACAGACCTCTCCACATGTTTGATAAAATATAAATCCCAGATATTTTTTCTGCTTTATGCCCCAGTCTCTTTAAAAACTTGAAAAAATAGATTTATTTTTAAAAAAAAAAATCCAAACAGATACATGCCCCTTTCCTTTTGTAACTTTGTGGGGACACAGACCAGTAGTCTGGTCTAAGCAAAGGTTTTTATTTACTTGTTCTGGAAGAGTAGCTGTAACGCTGCTTTGGAAATGTGGCTGCAGCAAAGTCAATGCACAAATGCCTGTCATGAACCTCAAACTGAAGACATAGCACCGCAGTTGAGGTTGTACAAGCCCATGGGATGATTTCACTGTGCTCGTAGGTAGGTAGAATTATGCTGAAGTCTCCACAGCCACATTTGTTAATGAAACCTTGTGAGTAAGGTACATAAAATGAGAGAAGAGGCAGTGTCGTAGCTGTGCAAAGGGTCCCAGTGGTTTTAGGGGAAACAGCTTGTGTCTCTTCTCAGCCTGGTGTGAAACACTAGGTCTGCTATAGCTGGTGGGAATTTGGTCCCTGGCAATGGAGAACTTGCTCCTGATGTCCTGAGGCTGTGTGCTAAGGAGAGGTGCGCTTGCCACCAATGCAGCCCAGAGCCTTGTGTGTTTAGTGGGAGTGCAGGGTGGGACCTCACCTGGGAAGCCCACAGGGCTGTCAGATTTTCCCTGATGTGGATGCTGCATGGGTGAACTACAGCTTTAACGAGAAATCACATTGCCTTCTCAGGGTTAAATTCCTTCCTTGTGTAAATTGATGGGATGGCACTGGCTGTAGTGCCAAGGGAAGACTTTGCCCAGGCATCTGTGGGAGCACTGGGAATGAGCAGGGTGTTGCTTCTAGTGTTGGCCAGTGCTCTTTGAGTAGGTCATTAGCTCACTTTTTTCAAAACAGAAACATCCCAAATCCATGCATAGCCCGTTACCATTAAAATCTGACACAGCTAATGATGGCATTGCATTGTTCTTTGAGCTGAGTCCTGTTGTTACAGAAGTAATGGGCATGATCTCTGGTGCCCTTCTCACTTTGCCTGCCTTTTGTTTAAATTCAGTGCAAGTACTGACTGTCCTTTCTTCTGTACCTCATGGAGATATAATCCAATGACAGCTACAAGGCACTTTGTGTAGTGAACATGAAATAGGAGGGAAATGAAAAAATCAAAGAGGGAGAATTATTCATGGGAAATTGAGCACAGCTTCATTTCTCTGCATAAAAAATTAAGTAATGCTAAAAGAATTATACAGTTGCCCATAGGATTTATTTCTTCTGAGCCCTTCACCTTTCCTGGGATCTAAGTCCTCCAGAAGAGATCCTTTTTGCACTAGACTATTATTGTTCTTAATATTATTATTAAGATGATTATCATCATTTTATATATGAATGTGGGTATGACTGTTTCTTCTGCAACCATAAAATGTGAATTCACACAGTGTTTCTAAGTACTGCAGTATCTTCTCTCCCTTTGAAGAACTTTGTCAATTCTGCATGCTTTCCTCCTGTTTGTCCTTCCTACCTGCAGCTCTGTGCTCTTCTGCAATCTTATTTTGATGTGGTAGGGCAGACCAGAGGAACCTTATATTATGTAGGAAAAATGTTTTTTCCCTTCGAATTGCCAGTATTTTGCACATACCGCCGCCTTCTGATCTCAGGACTGAGAAGTTTCAGTTTGTTTCCAAACTGAGACCCCTCGTTGGCAATGTGTTGTAATGCATGGAATTTATTTTACTGGCCTGACCTTATTCTTGACCTTTTTTCCCTGTCTTCTGCAAATGCAAATGATGCATGAATTGAAATCCCCTTAAGCCTGAACAGGGGAGATAATTCTAAAATCAAGGAAGGAATTGGAACAGCAGAGCATATCTAGAACGTCTGATACAATGCCTTTTTTATTTTTCAGTCAGTTTGCTCCCAGGAAAACCTTTTTGTGGAAAACAGGTAAAAAATAGCTTTTTTTTTTTTTTGGTGTTAAACTTAGCTGTTTCTCTTATTATTTTGTCTATCATAGTTCTGTAGTTGTTTATCCTAATGCAAAGACTGTTGAGCAAATTTGTAATCCATATAATCTACAGTGTTGTTGTGCTTTAAGGGGGGGGGAGAGGGGTAGATTGCCTTGAAGTATTGTATATGAGCAGATAAGGCGTTACTGCTGCTTGCATTTCAGTTTAAAAAGCAGATTGTAGGAGGGAGGGGGAGCCCACCGAAAGCTTCATTTCAAATGACCAGTCTGTCTCTGGAGTGCCTTTAGAATTTAAGTTATTGATCTTTAAAAAGCACTCTAGCAGTGGCTGGATGACAATATTTATGAAACACCACACTTGTTTCTGTTGTTTAACCTGCTCTCCTGTGGGGCTGAGTGGCAGCGCTGACTTCACTTGTCACTTGTGAAGGCTCACAAGTCCCCCAGACCGGACCTGCTTTACTGCTGCATTGTAGTCGTGAAATCATGATATCTGAGCCAATTGTTACTTTGCATTACTGTGTGATGGTGGTTCTTATGGATGTTCTTTTTATTATAATAAATCCGCTTAAAGCAAAGAGAAGAAGAAACTGTGATTAAGATCTACAAAATGTGAAGTGTTAGCTCCATAATAGCCATAAATTAGCTTAACTGTGTTGCAAATCTTAGAAATTGTGCACCTTTATGGCAGATAAGGATTTTAACAAAAAACTCTGGGAATTTCACTGGTAAGTTTTTGAGCAGTGCTAGCCCAAGTCTGGCCTGTGCATGTTTTAAAACTGTTTATCATCCCCTTGAAGAGGGGAGTTATCTTTCACAGTATTTCTGTCTCTGTCCATCCTTACATATGTTAGATGCATTTATGGGTAAGGCTGTTCCCATAGAAAATGACTCCACGGTAATGGTACAAACCAGCTTTTCCGATGGACAGTCCCGTAAGTGGGATGAGGGAAGGCCTTCAGGAGGTAATGGCCACTATCATCTAACCACCTCTTATTCTGACAGCCAAGGATACTTCCTCAGCTGCTGCTTCTGTTTCATGACTATGGAGATACGTTTTATCAAAATAAATCAAAATTTCAACAGAGGAACCCAAAAAGCAGATGCTCCCATAAACCTACTTGTCCCTCTCTGGAGAGACTGGGACAATAAACGTGACCTAGTTGTTCACCTTCCCAAGTCAGTATGGAAAGCGCTCAGGTACTGCGCTGCTGAGGGTAGGATGGGGACCTTTATGGGATAAACCACAAACTCTATTGCCAAAGTCCATAAACCTCCCTTGGTTTATGCATTCAATCCCCCACCTGCATGCAGGAGAATGTGGCCAGTTTTGGGTTTTGCACTTGGTTTGCTTTGCTCGAACCCGCGAGCTGGCTGATCAGCTTTCCTGGTGTGGTGACACATACCCAAGTGGAGACCAGAAAAAGGCCAGGTTGGAAATTGGGGTTCACTTACTGCCTGCACCGTTGCCAGGAGGAAAGACATCAGCTGCATTCCTCAGAACACTGCTTTTTCTTGCTGCATGCCTTACACCCTTTGATCAGGTGAAGCACTTCAACTTGTGCTTAGCTCTGTGCACATGAGCGATCTTGTTGATTTGCTGTGTTGAAAGTTAGGTATGTGTTTAAGTGCTTTGCCTTTCTTGTTCATCAGAGAACCTGAGCATTTCTCTGAGCTGCAGAGATTTCCAAGCAGCTTAGCAAGTGCTTAAAATTATATATGCAGTATTTTCCTGGCTTGCATTTTTTTAGGTTCTTATTAGGTGATATTTTTATGAATTTTCTTTTGGATGTAGATGTATGGTTCCTTGGCTTCTGAGAATTACCTTGCACACTAACAGGAAATGTTAAATGGCCTTCGGCCTCCCTGGCTGACATTTCTTATGTTCAGTTGACTGTACACAGTTATGGGGGGGGAGGGTGTGTGTGTGGAATTTTAGCCTTGTTTTTCTTAAACTATGAATCTAGTGGAAGTTGGAAGATGTTGCTAGAAATTAAATATAACTTTACAGATCAGATAAATTTGAATTACCGTGTCTGTTACCACAATCTTTCTTTCCATTTTTCAGTAGGCTGTTGGAAGACAGTAGCATATGCAATGATACCCATAAGAAAAGACAGCTGTTTAGGTTTGTATCACTTTATTTAATAATTATTTCCCAGTAACTCTCACTCGTGTTTCTGTCTGTGTCCTCACCGAGGAAGACCTTGATGGGTATGGGTATGTCATTTTTCTGGTTGGAAAGGAGCATGGAAAACAGAGTTCTTACCCCACTCATCCCACACTCTGAATGAGAAGGTCCCAGTGGGACCCTTTCCTTTGGTTTTATGGATCATTGGCTCAAGAACCATAGGAGATTTTTCAGCTGCCTGTCCGGCTGCTTGAACTGCCACAATTTGGGGGTGACTGTGACTGATGGAAGTTCATTTTGGTCTAGTATACACAACAGACATGTTTCACAGATTAGTGCCCAGACTGACCTTTTTTCCTTTCATTGTTTCATTAAAAGCTGAAGAAAAAGTACAATGAGGTGAAACTGATTGAAGTCCCTATCTAAAGCAGCAATGTTTTGAAACCTTTTTCTCTGTGAACTTTGTCTTCCGAACTCCAGTTCTTTCTGCCCAGAGAACATTCAGATGTATCCCATATCCCAGATCACGTCCCATGCCACAGGAAATTAGTAGGCGTCAGTCTATGAATTCATGGAGTACTTTTTTAATCAGTTGACACATTGGATCAGTGGAAGACCCAACCTGGTGATGACAGTGTTCCTCTGAGTGGCTTAGGAAGGCTCTCTTCCCACACCATGACCTCCCACAGGTTCAGTTCAAACCGATTGGAGTTTGAGCATGCCAAACTGCTTTTAAAGTCAATCAGCTGCCACAAGTCTGAAGCAGAGCGGGCAGAAGTAATGGATGCTTTCACAAGCATATCCTTCCTCCAGTAAAGCATGTGGATAGCTAGACAGAAGTTGGATCTGTATGCACTGAGGTTTGTATATGTGGCAGTGATAGTCTATATCACTTCAAACCTATATCCATCTATATTACATACATTTTGATTATGAGGAGAAAAGAACACAGGATTATTTGGCATATGGTTGCTGACTCTGCGTGTCAGCATGGCAGCCTCAGAGGAGATGGCGAGACTGCACCAGATAAGGAACAGTGCTGGAGCATCTGGAGCTGCATCCCATGGCCACAGGCAGCTGGCTGAAAAACTTTTCTCCATGTTTTGGGCTTTGCTTGATGACATGAGAGTCTAGGATTGGGCATGCAGGAGTAAGGAGGCATCTTACACCCAGACACTTAATAACTAATATCTCTTCAGGTTTGAGCAACAAAAAGGGATTTTGTGTCACCCAAAAGCACAGATAACTGGGTTATAAAAGCATTCTGTTCTTCTCCCTCTTTTCCATTAGAATATAAATATAAGAGAATTGTTAATTTCTAAGTACAAGAATGCAAGAGTCTGTAAATAATATACTTTGGTTTTTTGCTTTTCAATTAAATCTTAAGGACAGTTTGTTTTCAAAATCTTTTTCCTTGTTTTATGTTGTTGCTTCTGTGCTGTTTCTCTTCATGCTTTCCCACTGTCTGGGTCTAGCAAAAGTCAACAGGTTAATACTGCTGATCACATCTGTGAGAGGCTCTGATCACAGGCAAGGAACGCACCGGCCTGATCCCGTCTTTGACACGCTGCTCCTTCACATCCCAAGTGACACAGCTCGGCAGGTTCTCCAAATAATAAGCGGGAGCCATGTTCACAAGGAGAAAGGGGACAAAGAAAAATAGATACAGTCCCACCCTTTTGATTTGTAGAAAAAGAGCTTTGAGCCTGCAAGGTATTATACTGTAGAACAAGACAGAGGGGTGGAAAATATCTTCTAAAAGCCTTCCAAAAGCCAGTGTTGTTAGCATCACTTGGGATAATGATCCTGGTGCACTAAGCTGTGGTAGGCGTGCTGGTTTTGTCATTTTAGCAGCACATTGTAAGCGGTTCACCATAAATAAGCCAAATTCTCCTCCAAATTCTGCTCACACATGACTCTTGCAGTACCCTGGGTGTTCTGCAGCTGTTCAAGGACAGACGGTCTACCCAGAAATTTTTGCAATTGCCGTATGCGGAGGCCGAGGTGGGGGGGAACCCAACCCAACCGGTGGGTCTGTAAGTGAAGCGTTAGCACTGAAGAGTTTGGGGTCACAGTGGGAGGACACACGACTGGGGGAAGGCTTTGGATGACTTTACAGGGCAAATGATGAGTGGGGGCAAGGTGCAATAAAAATAAGGAGGATGGATATGAAGACAAAGGTATAGGGCAGGTGAAGTTAGAAAAACATTACAGGTGATGGACAACAAAGGAAGTAGCGAGGGGTCTTCTGAGGGAAGAGACCGGTCAACAGGCAACAGAAATACTATGTCAGTGCTGCGTAATATTGCTGCGTCAGCCCTGTCTCGTGAAGTGCTCTTATAGGATATATGCAAAAGGGGGGCAGCGGTAAGTGCTGTGTATGTAAAAGGGTATAGTAGTGTTTATTTGCTGAAGGCAGATGAGTATGGCGGTCAAATCCCCTGCCTCAGGCATGCTTTTGTAAATGCAGAGTATTTCCTTTTTCTTTATTAGGCTTGCTGCAGGGTACCCAAAGATAGACTCTGCCCTGACATGGTTTTGTTTGTGTATAAGTCTTTGTTTCCTGATGCCCATAGGGGTAACAGAGACAGCACGGGGAAGGCATCTGGCAGTCGACAGAGCAGTACAGAGAACGAATTGAAGTGGACAGACCACCAGAGGCCATGGAGCAGCACGGACTCGGACAGCTCAAATCGAAATTTGAAGCCAGCCATTACAAAGACAGCCAGTTTTGGTGGCATAACCGTCCTGACAAGAGGAGACAGCTCATCAAGTAACAGAAGTACCGGCAAACTGTCTAAAACAGGTAGCTAGTACTGTATTGGGTTCACAGTACTTCTTGTTGTGTGGTGATAAATGGCTGTACTGGTAGTTGCCCAAGTATGGTATATCACAGAATGGTTTGGGTTGGAAGGGACCTTCAGAGATCATCTAGTCCAACCCCCATGGTTAGACTAGATGGTGAATGACATGAACGCTTCCATTCCCTGTGCACAGTAGATGTGTATGTCCATCTATGTATGCTAGTATGTGTGTACCTGGTATTGAGTTTTTAGGAATCAAGAAGAAAACCTGGTGCCTGAGGTTTGCAAATCACAGGTAGGCTTTTCCCAGAGTAGAGTATGTGCACGTTTTAGCTGAACGCTGTCTGCACTTGTTGTAGCCTGAAAAGGTGGTGCTCCTTTCAGACAAAGCATATATTTTACCTTTTTATTAATCTTAATCTTTTTGAATCGTGAAGATTTAAATGTGGTATACCTGATGAGAAAAGCAAGAATGTTTTGTTGTTGTTGCTAAAATGCAGACCATCTTGAAGTACAGCCTCTCCCTTGCTGCTGGCAGAGGAGGCAGTGTGATGTGGTGGAAGTAGGCAGAAGTGATGGATTCACACAGGTCCCACGGTCTCACTCCTTTCAGACAAAGCATAGGTTTTACCTTTTTGTTAATCTTAATCTTTTTGAATTGTGAAGATTTAAATGTGGTACACCTGATGAGAAAAGCAAGAATGTTTTATTGTTGCTAAAATGCAGACCATCTGCATCTTGAAGTACAGCCTCTCGCTTGCTGCTGGCAGAGGAGGCAGTGTGCTGTGGTAGAAGTAGGCAGAAGCGATGGATTCACACAGGTCCCACGGTCTCTCCGTTTCCTTGTTTAGTTCCCATTAAATGAAAACACTGTTTAAGGAGACTACAAACCTGGTGGGATTTCTGCATTTATTTGCATTAACTTCACGGATACATTAACATATGAGTGAGTCACAGGGTCTGGATCTAAGTAATTTCAAGCCATGCTGTTAAGCTGCTCTATTATATTTTTGTGTAAAAGTGCACAATAAATAATGAGCCCATCAGATGATTCCATCAGTTTAGCTCATTTGATAAATATAGTACAGGACAAGTGGTAATCAATACTTAGCACTTAGTGCTCTTTCAGCTTGAGTGTTTTATGGACAATACTTAATGTAAAACCAGTTTCTTGAACCTGGGTTGGTCAGATTTCACTCCTATTCCCAAAATAGTATGGTAGCCTTTGCAGTGATTCAGGATATTGGGGAATGGAGTTTTCAGAATAAATAAAAAAAAAAAACCCTTTGACTTGGTAACTACATCCCAGACCTCCAGATCTTGAACATAGTTTAAAATATTGTTCTATTTCACAGCTGTAAAGGAACCTGGCTGGTTGGAAAGCTGCTCTTTCAAACCCTGCTGGTCATAAAGCTGCTGTGAGCTTTTGGAATATCCTGCCTCCTCTTCTTAATGCTTCTATTTAATGTTTCTTTTGAGACCCTAGACAAATAGTTGGTTTATAATCTTAGGATTCATAGAATATCTCAAGTTGGAAGGGACCCATAAGGATTCTTTTCTAAGATAAGATTTGCCTTCAGTTTCACTCTGTCCTTATGTATGTGAAATCCTATGGAATTAAGACTTGAATCTGACTTTGAAAATTAGTATAGTTGTTTACCTCCGGCTTGTGCCTGAGCATAAGCATATGCAACATGGCAAAACCGGGGTGGTTTTTAGTTTTGAAACTACACTTTCCTGTATTTTTCATTTGTATAAAGGCTGAACAGGCCATACAGTGGGGCCTGAAGTTATGCAGTAGACCATGTTTTTACCTCCAGATTTCTTTGCCTCCCACGAATCTTTCTGTTGCATCAGAATTCAGTTTGATATGCATGAACTCAGGAGGACGCGCAGGTTCCTGGTATACTTTTTCATATTGTTCACCTTCAGTAACTGTATTTCTCTGCAGTATTGTATTGCAGAGGTGCAGAACATGGTACCAGGGAAATCCAGTTTGGAGGGTTGAGACATCTAATTGCAAAAGAGTAGTACTTTTAAGTAGCCGTTTTAGTGTTAAAATTGAGGATATTAGAGGGTGCAGTTAGAAAATGTATTAGAGATCTCTGAAGCATGCCAATACTTGTAAATGCATCTGCACTCCATATGCACCAAACCCAAAATTGCTTTCAAATGAAAGCTCTTATAATACATTTTTAAAACATCAGTGATATTAAAATGCCATGTTCTTTGCAGAGCAATTACATATTGTAAGTGCTCTGACTTTTTTTTTAAGCAAAGTGTTTAAATTGGAAAGCTGATTGAGGCATAGAAAGAGTGGGGGGAAAAAAAGAAATAAAATGAAAGGAAGAGGTGGGGAAAAAGGGCGAGGCTGGATGTCATAACAAACTTAAACCTTCCAAGCCAGGACACAAAGTCAAACTGTCAGTCAGCCTGAGGAAAGTCATAGGAAATAATATCCAAATCGCTATTTCTATCCTTTTCTCTGAAAATGTTATTGAATGGCATTAAAGCAGAAAAAAAAATGACTGTTCAAAAAATAATGGGGAAATATGCCTTGATAAAGTGTTCTCCCTTCACCAAAAAATGCTGAGTACATTCATACAGCTGTCAGAGCCCCCACGTGCTATTTGCATATGTTTTCTAAGGTACATTAAGTACCAAGTGACTCTTCATTGTGCATGTTTTGCATTAGATCTTCATTACTCTGTACTCCAGTCATAAGCCATGCTGGGGGTTCTGTAGCTCAGTACACATTTAAAGCTTGATCATGTTTTTTATTTTGGGGGATTTTGTTTATTTTCTGTTGTCTTTACTACACTGATTGAAATAGGATTACAGAGGTGTACCTACAAACATTGGGCACGCAGCCCTTGTAGTGTGGCAGAGCCTAGTAGGCACCAATTCTGTCCTGGTTCTCCTTTGCAGAAAGTACTAGACTGTTCTCTAAAGTGCCTTATGATCCGCGGTGATAAATTAAAAACATTTTTTGTCTTGCATATAGTGTGTATGAAATCAGCCTAAGCCATTAGTTGGTCAAAATGTTTTTCATTGGCTAAATGATGGAAAATGTTTGTGACCATTTTAAATGTGAAAATTATTCTACGTGTATGACGGTCATCCAGAAGCATTGTCAAACACCCTTCTTGATCATGGGAATATTAAAACTTTCAGGATTTTCACAGATGGCTCACAGCTGCCTCTGAGAATATATACAGTGAAGCAATATCAGCTTTGTAGCCTTTCTGGATCATTTTTAGTGTTGTCACCAAAATTAAATGTTCTGCCCTTAACCTTAACTTCTGATAAATGAGTAATTAATGGTACCTAGCAGACAAACAGAAACTGAAGCACAGAAAGATGTTAGCCTCCCCTTAGGCAAAGACAGATCATAGAACGTGCTGTTTTCTGCAGTAGAGTCCAGTAGTGTCAATTAGTCTTAGACTTTAATTGCATTCAGCTGCATGGGAATTAGAGCTTAGCAAAGGAATTATGTTACTTCATTCTTGCAAACTTCACAAAAGGGACTGTTTGAAACCCATTACATGGTTATCTTACTGGTTGTGATGGTTATTTTCACCCACCTGTTGATTTTTTAGAAAGCCCTGTTCCACTGAAAAGCACAGATTGTATATTGCAAATAAAATTCTCTTCTCTGTTATTCTGAAGCCTAGTAGATATGTAGAGATGTGTTAAGTTATAATTCAGTATTGAGTGGGAAGTTAATAATTTAACAAATTGCAGTCAAATTGCATTCCTACAACTTAGGACATTATGCAAAATGTTGATTAGTTTAGATTTCCAGTAATATAGTGGACTTTCCAGAGTTGACTAAGCATGCAGAGTGGTAAATGAAATAGATGTCCCTGTAGGTATCAGAGGTACCTGTTCAGTCTCTAACACACCCGTGAAGAGCAAATCTAGCTCATCAACTACCCTATTATTTTCACTGACACAACAGTTTTTAATATACGTTATTAGGAGGGAAGACAAGATGTGTTTCAAAGAACTGTCCTCTGTGTATCTACATATGTATTTAAATAATTGTTGGAAGACTTAAGAGATGTAACTATTGCATCTTTAGCTTCTCTTAATGCATTTGCCATTCAGTGGAATGCACATCTGCTGAGTGTGTTTCTTTCCCTCACCCCATTTATGAAAAACTGGCTGCATTGGGGTATCAGCTGTGTTGATACAGATCTGTAGGGATTGTTAACTTCCTTGGCGGGGCTCCAAGTAATCAGAGCCACAATCTAATCTCTCCTGTTAGGTGTTCATTGCTACTGCTTTTGGAGAAAGACGATTATACTGCAGGCATTTCAATACATTAACCTTTTTTTAAAAAATTATTTTTTTAATAAAGTTTCCTGTAAATTATAATTTTGTCTCAGAGTTTTGGAAGTGGATTTCTGCTTCTTGATGATTTCCTTTAATTGGGCATTAGCCTGATGGATCTCGTGAGTCCAAGAGAAACTGTAGGAATGTTGATGCATGGATAATAAATCACGAGCCAACTGCTTCCAGTCATACTCTTCCCGCCAACCAGCTGTGCTGAAACATCAATCTTATTTTTAGAAGTGTGACTTTCAGAAAAATAATCGTGTTCACATGAGCAAATACCATTATCATAAAAAAAACCCTAAATACATTGTAATAGACAGAAATGCAAGTGACTTACAAAAGTGGCAAATAAATATTCCTAAACCAAGAAGCTATATCCAAGACAAAAATACTTCCAGAAGTAATCGGCTCTCTACTGTTCCTGAAAAATCAGCTGTCCGGAGCAAGTAGTGGGTAGATCTTGAGAGTCCAATTGATAAGAAAGGAAAAATTTACCTCGGGCTTGGAAGGTGGGATGAACACAGATGTTCAAAGTCATCAGATACTGAATGCTGACCCAAAGAAAATAGAGCAAGACATGTGGCATCACTCACTAGCACTCAGAATATTGGAAAATTAGTGATACCTCCATGTTCTCCCTCTGCAAACCCTCTAAGCTAGTAAGACTTTGCGGTGATTTTTCTGTCTCTTCCTTTTACCACTCTTTGAACTGCTGTGTCTCTCAGAATACTTTAAAAATATATTAATGGAAAGTCATGAGAATATGAAGGTTATCATTATGTCAACTGTGAAGCAGCAAGAAAATTACAGAAGAATCTAGAAGAAGTAGCCATCATTACATATTGAAAAAAAAGAGGTTGGATTGTGTAATGGGGGCAAAAATCTCATTTAGTCAAAGTTCCTTTCGGAAGTCTTTAGCAAGACAATTCTTAATGTGAATCTGAATAAAGTCAGATAGGTCTTTTTTTTTTTTTTTTTTTTTTTCATTTTCTATAGTACTGAATTCATTATGTAGTGATTTCTTATTCCAAATTTAGACACCATGAAAACAGCTAATCAGAGCTACAAAGACAAGATTAATTGGTGTTAATTTCCAAACATTAGTGTTGGAATTTACTTGGCTTAATGTGTCTAGACTTAAAATGATAGGAAATAAGTTGTAGTGATGGAAAAAAATAGATCTTTCTTCATTCTTATACAGAATAAATTGGGGAAAAAATGGTTAAGTAGTAATTTCTGGGACTTTTTTTTTTTAAATATTCAGAAAATTGCTACAATGGTTTTGTGTGTTATTTGTGTTCTTTCAAAATCACCAACTTGTTCTGCTGACAAAGGAGAGGAGATCTCTGATCTTTTAAAGCAGACGTTTCAAAGCTATCATCTTGGCCAACGTGGGGTGATAGCTCCAGAGGTTTTTCCACTGCTTTTGCATACCATTTGATGAGTACATCTGAATTCATTGCAGTCCTTTGGCTTTTAACATTCAGAAGCTGGTAAAGATCAATCTGTGATTCTGCTATAAAAACAGCTGAAAAGGGGAAAAAGAAAGAAGAAAAAAATATAAAAAACAACCCACCAACAATTGCATGACAGAGTTGCAATCTTTTACGCTATCAACATTTCTTCAGAATAGCACAAAAGGGGGAGAGAGAACTCTGGACTCAGGCTTGATACTACTTGCACGCTTAGAAATAATGGGAGGTTTATGAAATCTCATCACCACTCCTGCATCCCCAGGTAGCTTTTTAACCTGTTGAATTCAATAGGTGATGGAAAAGAGGAGAAGGTAAAACAAGAACTGAAAGCAACGTGAAGCGCATGTAGAAGAGCAGGAAATGCAGGAAAGGACCTGGTAACTGCTGTAGAAGGAAAATTAAATTCCAGGGGTTGCAAGGGAGATACCAAATATTGCTTGCAGCTTGATGAGGATGACTTCCAGGAATATCTCTGCAATTTGTAGAAACACTGAAATCTGAAATGATCCAATAAATAAAACTATGCCTGCAGGAATAATCTTTCAAAATTTCCAACCTCGGTCTATGAGGAGGGGAAAAAACATAGCAACTAATAAAACTTCGAAGTGTATTTATAGAAATAAAGAATGTCTTCTGAAATCTCTTATTACTTTCTTGATTAGATACCGGAGAAGCAGATTTAGGGTCCTGCTCATGGCAAATAGTGCACAGCTCATAGAGGACTGTCTCTCTAGTACCTGCCGTATGAGTATGAAGTTGGAAGAAAATGGATAAAAATGTGTTTTACACAGCAATCTGCAGTAATCTGTGGAAAGACCTTCAGTTAAGTAACAGGATGCTGGTGTGATTTCTTCAGAGGAAATCTTTTTTGCTCTGAATGTGAGGAAATAAACAAATTCCGATACGGATTTGACTGAAAACGAATCCAAGGCTCTAATCAGTCTACTGCAAGGTTCTCCTGTAGTATCCTCAATATGAAGGGTTGTAATTTGCCACATAAGCAAGAAGTTTTCTAAAACTTAAGTCTGAGTTCTGTCTTCTCTTAATCTATACCTGCAGGAGGGCACTAAGGAGGTTAGTAATTAATGTAAGATGCGTAGACAGTGCACAGAAGTGAAATAAAAGGATTTGCAATTACAATATATTTTACTTTTGGGAGGAAGCATCCATGTAGACATTTGCTTTCACACTTCACTTGTATTTGCCATAGCATCCTACTTTAAGGAAGCTGTCATCTGAACCTTACACGCCCAGACAATCTTGGCATTTTTTATGTGAAGCAAACTGAAATCTAATCAAGTAAAATCTCTGAAGTTTGGAAAGGATATTTGCTTTTTAAAATAATGCATCTACCCATCCTTCTAGGCACAAAATGCAATTTAGCACGTTTGATTTATCCTGATTGATGAATTTTAATAGGCTAGGTGCTGAAATACCAAAGTGGCAAAAGTCTTAGGTAGCTTTAATTTAATACACATATGGCACAGCTACTCTGTTACTTGACTGACAACTCAGTTGCCTTTTTTTTTTTCTTACAGAAAACATTTTGGTTTTTTTGTGTTGTGTAGGGTTGTTTTTTTTTTCTTTTTCATTTACAAACCCTGTGTTTAGTCTTTATACCTTATGAACCAGTACTTTGGCATTATGAATACACACTGAGCATTTTGTATTCTGTTTGATAAAGCTATTTACTGGCTGGGGGCAAGCAGATACCACAGGAGGAAGGTGGTCTTTTGAATTGTAGAAATACCACTGGGTACTGCGCTCAGTAGGGAGTGAAGACCCTGCTCCTACCAACTGGGCATGGGCTGGTGTTTGCCTTTGTGGTCTGCGAAGGCTGTCTTCGCGTATGTGCTATGTCTGATGGGGACTGCGGTAACCCCACCGCTGCGGTTGTGTCTCTCTGTTAGGCTCAGAGTCTTCCAGCAGCGCTGGCTCCTCAGGATCACTGTCACGAATACATCAGCCTCTCCAAAGTGCATCTCTTGTCCCCGGGGTGACGGCCAGCTCTTCAGGCAGCGTGTCCTACCCTGAGAATGGGATGAGTGGCCAGGTGGCCCCCAGCAACACCAGCTATATCATTCTTCCACTTGAAGCTGCAGGGATACCGCCTGGCAGTATCCTTCTCAACCCACACACAGGTCAGTATGATGCTCTCCTGCCTGGTACCACCCTTCAATGTTTCTGATGTCATCTGGGGAACTGGCAAATTTCATGTTTCTACAGATATTTTCCTTGAGGCACTTTATGAGGAAGCAAGCAGCAAATACATGTAGAAATTACATTTGGCAGGTTATTTTTTCAAATCTGCAGGCAAAGCTGGATGGGCTTTCTGAGGCTGTTGTGGCATAGCCGGTGGGAAGTGATGCAAAACACGCTCATGTGATCCCAGACAGGATATTCATCTTGTAAAGTCCTGGCACTCCCTGGCTGTGAATCGTCTGAGATCCCATTAGCTTCACTAAGGGCAGATGCTATTCCATATTGATCTGAGATATGGTGCAACTGAAATACGATGCTCAAAGTTTTAGAGATTGTGCTTGATGTCAGAAGAATTTCAAAAGGCTTAGAGGCTGCATTTGAATTAGCACTTCAGGGTTAATTTCCTTATATGATTAGCAATTGTACTTAAATTGGAAGTTTTGTGATAAGAAAAAGTCATAACGTCTTCAATTCTGCATCATGGCCCAGGCACTTAGCAGCACTGCAGGGCTTGAAGGAGACATTTGCAGTCACCCAAGCACTGTGGACACTTCAGAAACCACTCAGCTTGAACTTGAGTGCTCGCTGAAAGTTTAAGGCACTTTATTACCTCCTTGGTCTAGATGAAGGCCAGATAATGTTACACAATTACTCCCCACAGTATTGTACTGACGGCATCAAAAAGGTTCAGGGAGGTTGAGACTGTGATGCTTCTTCAGTGATTTGGACTATTTCAGTGACCATGACCGGCTGTGCTGTCAACCTTAGCTGAGTTATGCTGGGTTTAAAATAACAAAGCCTACAGTGCAATATATTTTCCATTATATTGGGAGCTGAGAGTTGAACTCCAAAATATTTTTTCGAAGTCCTTTATAGAGCATTCAGGAGTCTTTTTTGGGGGGATTTTTGTTTATAACCAGTGTTTTATGTATATTACACACTTGTGTTCCAGTATTTTGGTGCGAATGCATAAAGCTTATTTGTGAGCCCACTGCTAAAAAAAATACTTTTTTTTTAGTCAGAATGCAGTCAAGAAAAACTGCAAGTTACAATGTTTGAGAAAAACGCAGCTGTGATAAAACTATTAAACCAAATTTTCCACAGACATTTAGAGATAGTAGTGTCTGGGGCTGATCAATATATATTAGCATATCTAAAATCAGGGAGGGGTTCTTGTTTATTTAGATACAAATGTGATAAGTTCTTTCCAGAGAGGTGATTTAGAAGAGACACGTTTGTGCAAGTTACTAAAGATTTCATTATTTATGTGTACTTTTTAAAAAGCTGTTACATTATTGACTTGAGAGCCTAATACTGTCAACATAGGTTGGGATTGTATTCATTTCTTAAAATGACTCAGGGTAGGGGACAGAATGGGAGGTGGGCATTAGACAAACCCCATCATTATTAATTTACTCATTTCTTTTGTTCTGGTAGTTGATAGTTCTGTCTGTAACACTGGAATTTCTTGGTCAATGCAGAAGAATGTGTTTTGTGTGCTATGTGGTCCACTCCCATACAAAACTCATCAGGCCTAGGCCTAGGTCCATCCGTAATTCAGGTGAAAGGACTGAGAGAAACAAACGAAAGGAATCTCTGCTGCTTGGAGCCCACTAACAGCTGAGAGGTTGTGCTCGTTCCTTGCTTGCAAGCCGGAAGAGCTTTTTTAAAAGGAACATCTCCGACATCTGTTTTGTCAATTTGGGAATTTGCAGCAGCTAGCTCATATTTTTCCCTGATGCCTAGGGATTCTTTGTCTGCCACAGGTATAATACCTTTCAATATTGTCACTAGACCAGAGCACTAGACGTGGTCTTCCCTCCTACCACACCTTATTGTCTGCAGGGGCGTAATCGAGAGCTCCATGTGTGTTAGTGCATTTAATATGCAGGGAGCAAGTGGTTTTGTGTACATATAATCTTGCGTTTCTTTCAAACTGCATGTTTTGTGTCTGTAGCTCTCTTGTAAATACATACATAATAAAGAAAATGGAGGGAGCAGATTCTTTTAAAGACTGAAATTCTTGTCTCAGGTGTATAGGTTCATGCTGCTACCTGTGCTGGAAGTCAGGCTATACTGCAGCATCTGCTGTTTTTAACATGCAGCAAAATACATGCTGCAAATTTGCCGCTCTTTGGGCTCACAATCTTTGCATCTTATTAGGGTAATGTTACAAAAGAAGCTCCGTAGGGAGGAGACTTAGATTGCTGGATGCTGTGATCAGCTATCAAAGTGATGGATGCTGTCAGAAACATAGATGAAGAAAAGACAGTTTAAAGAAAAGGAAAAAGGAGCTTTGTTTCCTGTAATGAATAGGTTTTCTTTTTCCATCTAACACCATTCTTTAGCTCTTTCTTCTCCTCTTGCAGAGTGGCTACTTCCAATCTTTTTCTCTCTTTTGATCATAGTACTGTGTCCTTTAAAGATCTTTGCTTCCTTTCACACTACATAGTCACTGACTGTGCAAGCCTAATGGCATCCGCAGATGCTGTCAGTATCTCACTGCTCTGATATTACCTCTCAGCTTCTTCTTCGGTGTTGGCAATCTGCACTTTCTTTTCCATAGCTGCAGTTTCCTTTGTTTCCTTTCCTCTGCTTTACCCCTCTCCTTCCCTCGGATAGAGTAGCATTTTGCTTGCTTTGCGAAAGGACCATTTGTGTGGCTATGCTGTTGTACTCTCTGTTTCACCCACTTCACGGGTCTGTTTTACCCTTTAAAGGATTCCTCTTGACACGTTCTCTGACTTAACCCCTTTGACAATTTAAGACCATTTACGTTTCATTCTTACTCCTTTAAATGACATGGTAATCTTTGCCCTTCTATCAGGGCCATGGTTCATAACTTACAAATGTCTTCCCTGTTACCATCTGATCTCTCCATTTCTTATTTCAAGATTTCTTCATGAAAGGTCTGCTTTTTCATCTTTAAAGGCATTGCTGGGCCTTTTCTCTTTCAGTTCTGTCATCCTTTACTGGGCCATGGGAAATGCTCTTTACAGCTTCCCTCAAGTATCTGGCACGGGCTTTGGGAGCCTGTTATCCTGCTTACCCAGTTAGGCTTCCCCAGTCTCCTAAAGTACTTCTGGAGGCTGAGACTCACAAATCTGGGGAGTACATGCTATTGTCACCCAGTGTGTTCACAGGAAGAAGCAGGAAATCAGCCAGTGGACAGAACTGCCCTGTGCTTCTCTTCCAGTCACTCTAATCGTGATCTTTCTCACTGTGACTGTGAGACATGCCCAGTATAATATGGTGACTTCATTCAGAAAGTCTTCGTGCATAAGCAAGTTTTCTTTATCTGGTGCTCCTCATACATTCCTGACCATGATAAATAAGAGGGAGGAACTGAAAGGCTGAGGAGTATATAGAACAGGTAGAGACACTTGTGATATACGAATCAGAAGTTCATTATTTCATTATTGCTCTCATTCACCAAATTCCTCCAGATCTCCCTTTTTATCTCAGATATTCATACTTCAGTTACCTACTTGAAATGTTATCACTTCATTGCTAAAATTCCTTTTCCCCCCTCAAAGAAACACCTGTAATTCCTTTGATTTATGAATTAATGATAGAACTGAAGAGAGAACTGAGATCATGGAAAACATTTTCACTACAGAGAAATACCATGTCTTTTTTGTTTATAAGACAATGACTTGGGTAAACTTTTTTTTTTTAAACAAACACTGCTGTTGCAACGTTACATCCCCCCAGCTAAAATATCTGAAACAAAGAGTTCCGCAACTTAGTAGAACTTTGGATAGAATTTGTCTTGTATATAAGAGATTTTCAAAGACATCTTAAGTGTTTCTTCTCTGATGACTTCCAGTGCTGCCTCCTCTAATTACATAGGGCACACAGCGCTATGTTATTAGAATGTGTAAATAAATTAGCAATATGGGTGGGTTTGTGGTTTTTTTTTTCCTTTTCCATACAAACTACAGTGTGTCAGGAGTAGTTATGTACATTTGACTGCTGTTGCATGGCAATAAAATGTACATGAATATTCTCTACCTCCAGTGTTTGCTCCAGAATTCACTTTTAGTACTAATTGTTTCATCATTGAATGACTTCAAGTAACCGTAGCATCTGAGTCATCTTAATCTTCCACCCATTCCTTGGAAAATCCCATCTGAGTCATCTTATAGCCATGGTAATCTTCCACCCATTCCTTGGAAAATCATACTGCCAAAACAAATATCTGCTCTCTGCCTTGCTTTCAAAAAACACCCCAGATGGCTGATATTGTAATGAGGCATTGAGAGCGATGAGCACTTCACTGTTGTAGCAGGTCAGCTAAAGAGCGATCAGTTAAAGTGAGGTTGTATGATTTCATACAGAAAATGGAATATTCTTAAAAGTGTTCAGCAAAGGCAGGGTGTTTTGTTTCAGGTCAACCGTTTGTAAATCCTGATGGGACACCGGCAATATACAATCCTCCCAGTGGCCAGCAGACGATGAGGAGCCAGATGGTGGGACAGTGTGTAGCAGGTCAGCTGAAGAGTGACCAGTTAAAGTGAGGTTGTATGATTTCATACAGAAAATGGAATATTCTTAAAAGTGTTCAGCAAAGGCAGGGTGTTTTGTTTCAGGTCAACCGTTTGTAAATCCTGATGGGACACCGGCAATATACAATCCTCCCAGTGGCCAGCAGACGATGAGGAGCCAGATGGTGGGACAGTCTCAGCAGCAGCCTTCATCCCACCAGCCTCAACAGGTTCAGCAGCCACAGCAGCAAATGGCAAGTCACCTTGTCACACAGGTAGGTGTGATGGCTGTTGAAAAAAAGAGAAGCAGCTCTCAGGGATACGAAAGATGACCTAAAGGGTAGGAGGGAAGGATGCAGCTAGACAAAATATCAGGATGTTCTTTTCTTTTGAAACAAATGGGGCTCATGATCTGTATTTTCAACATGGATGAAACAGATGGAGAGGGAAGATTCCTTTTACAATTCCATCTAAAGGATGGTTTCATTTTGGAAAGGACGGTTAAGCGAGTTGGTGGATGTCTATATAAATGTATTTTGCAAAAATCGCCTGTAACTGAAAGCTGAAGCATTCATTCTCAAACTAGCACAGTCTGTAATTCTCCCCAAAGAGCCGGGGACCTTTCCCTGTCCCTTTTGACAGCAGTGGGGTTGAGCCAAAGAATCAAGCGCAACACAAGGCTCTACAACCTCTTCCATGTCTGGTTACATGGGGCCCAAGCTGTGGGTAGCCCGCCTTCCAAGCACCCCTGCCCCAAACCGTGGCTCTTCTGCCTGCGCCCCACATTCTGGCCATGACCTTGCTCTGAGCTCTGGAGCTACAGCAGGAGAGGGGAAGAGTGGTGTAATGTGGGCACAGTGCCATGGTATGTTGGCTCTCTGGCCCCTGGGCCGGCCGTGGCGTGCAGCCAGACGTGGCTGGGCATGGGCAGCAGGGTTTGTGTCTGGTTCAGACTTAATTTTGTGGATTGTGTGCTTGCTCTCCCAGAGCAGGCAGAGGAAACTACTCAAGCAAGAATGCTTACTCAAGGAGCAGCCAAGATCTACTGTGGTTCTTGCGTGGCTTTATAATTTGGCATGGTTTTATCCCAGGTTATTCAGAAATGCAGTGTTTAAATTCAGTGAAGTTGCTTTGATTTCACTTGGATTTATGTGTTTGTGGCTCATATTTCTTGATTTGGTCTTAGAAGACGGAGGTAGCACCAAACCTGTGTAAGACTCAAGTTAAATGAGAGATTTAAACGAAAGGAATAGTAAAGCTATTGCAAGGTAATTGTGCTGTAGAAAATTGTTCTTTCACTTAGATAAACATCTGCTTCAAGCTGACAGGCCTGTCTCTGTTGTTAATTTGCAGCCTGTTCTTTGTCAATTATTTTTTTTAGCTATTGTGTTCTGCCAAAGGAGCTTTAAAATCATTATTCCTTTGCCTATGACACACTCGGAGTTAAATCAGTCATTATCAGCAAAATTCAAATATACACTTACACTGTGCCACTCGTACATTTTATCTCCGTAAATTAAATGTAGAATCATAACTTGGATTTGCCTCACATCAGTAATAAGAAGTTGTAGCTGTGGCTTTATTTAATCTAACAGCCATCAGATATATGAAAAAAAAGGCAGAAAAATCTGTAATAGAGAATTGTTTGGTATAAGGCTAAGATGAAGACTAAAATGGCAGTACCTGACCTCTTGTATTTGGGCTGGCGATGAGTCACCTGCATTTTCAGAGGTGTGTTTGTGATCTTTGTTCTCAGTAACAGAGGTGGTTGTTGTTGTTGTTATCTATCTCTAAGTAGCTTGTATTTATTGTCTTTCACTGTGTTTACTTTGCAGCCTGTTCAGGCAATGCAGCCATCTTCTCAGTCAGTCCAATATCCAGCAGTTTCTTATCCTCCCCAGCATCTCCTGCCAGTGTCTCCAACGCAGCAGTTTTCTGTGGTACTAAAGATTTATCATCTTTTTTTTCTTTCCTTGAAGTTGGGTGTGTGAGCATGAGTATGCCCGAGAGCCTCTGGGGAGCACTGCGAGTGGTCTCCTACATGAGAGCCCCATCTAAATCCCCCTTTGCTTTAACACTGTTGGTACTGACAAGCGTTTTGTAAGAGCTTTCCCACTGATTCTGGTTATCTAACCTGGAGGAGGATGTTAGGAACGGGGCTCTACTTGGTTAGCAGAGCCTGCAGAAAAGTGTTTTGTAGTGATGGGAGCTTGTGTCTCCCCACTCTATGTCAAGGGGGCTTAAATTGCTAACTTGGGCATTTCAGGTTTGGGTTATCCCCCTTTTCATGTCCACAAAGACTGGAGAAGAGACCTCTAGAAATAATTATTTTTTATTTTATATTATTTTATCAGTATGCTAAATCCACTGCCTGGATTTATTCCCTGATGATACCAGAGCACTTAGAAAACACAGTAGCAGTGAACCAGCTGCAAAAGGTGTGGTATGCTGTGCAGCATGACAAAGCACCAATGGACATATAATAAAAATAGAGTGCTCTTCTGGAGTCTGAATCTGGCTTGGTGCTTACAGGGCTAAGATTATACTGTTGTAAAATGAAGCTGACATTTTAAGAGGCACTACAAGATGGGGTTTTTTCTGTTATTTTTCTCTCTTGCTCTGGTAATCTTGTTTATGACTGATTTTTTTTTTTTTCCCAAGGCAGAGATGTCACGTAGTTACAGTAAGAGATGGAAACAAAGCTGAACGGATCCTTGCAGCTAAAATAGTGTTATTAATGCCCTGGTAGATGAGCGGTACCATTTAAAGGACAATTAAAAAAATGTTCTATGCTGAACAGAAGTTGCATATCTCAGTGCTACTTCTCTTGAAAAGTGTCTTGCAGGCGTCTCAGATTGTTCTAGTGATAGTCATAGGAAGGCTGATGTTTTTGTGGTTAATTTAATAGTTAAACTTCACCTGAATCAATGTCTCCAAAGTACATTACATTATACACACAATGTATAAACTAGAGGGTTTTGAAACTCTTGGTCTCTACTGTGTGAATCCAGAGACATTCCAGGTTCAGTGTAGAATCTGTTTGCTGTCATTTGCCATCCAGGTAACAAATATCCTAGCTTTCTAAAGAAACAATTTCAAACAGACAACTTGTTTGCCTGAATATGGATGTAGGATGATGGTAAAGTTAATAGCATTGCTTTCTTCCACTACCTGAAGATCTGCCAGGAGTGTTTAAAATGTTGGCCCGTGGCATCTGCTCTCCAAGTGGGAGGGTGAGTCTCTGTGCAGTCTCTGGCAGTGCTTTCCACAAACAAACTTTTTTTTCCGTTTTTCTCTATTTTGAAGTTTCCAGCCAATAAATACATTGTGCAGGATGGTTTTGGAAAGTGAACACCACAGGGATGTGAACAAAATCGAAGAGGCTCCTTCTAAAAAATAGCATGGATGTTCTAAGTAAAAAGCACTTTCATAGTGCTTATTCCCTACCTGTGAGGGGATATAAGGAAAGGACCGTAATCTGCATATTAGCAGACAATAGAGTTTTATGCTGGATTTATTGCCATATAGAGTACGTTTTAATATTGAGTATTTAAAAGTCTTATGGTGTGGACACAAATGAAGATGCATGGAACCAAATTTGTAAATCTTTGACCTTCACAGAATAAACTTGAGAGCATTGATTAGTATGGATCTTTTTGCAAGGCTGAAGAGTTACTGTCTGGAATCCTTGTATCATTACCAGCATGTAATGAGACTTAGGTCCATTGACTTTATTTGGTACGTTCATCCTACCATAGATTTATTCGCCCCCCGGCCCCTCCAGTCAAATAAAGTGCTTGTTTCTTTCCAACACTGAATAAAAAGCCTTGAAATAGCAACTGAAGACTTAGCTTTTTTTTACCTTCTCTATGTTTACAACCTTGGCTTTTCAAAACAGTCCAAAAAGGAAAAGGTCTGCACCTGAATCCTACTGGATTCTTCTTGGGATTGTTTTGAAACAGGTAAAACTACCAGCACGTGTTTGGCTGAGGAGTTCTGTGTTTGGGGGAAGAGGTATTCATAACGTTATTTTCATGCCCTTTATATTTAAAATGTCTTCTTTTGAACACTGTAAAGTTCACTTGTCATTTTGGAATAAAAGAGGAGGGGGCAGGGTAAAAGCCAAAATAATTGGCTTTTATGCCAAGCGATGCCATTCACCTTGCAGTCTGGAAGTCTTTGTCAAAGCATTTATAGCGGTTTTTATTTTAATTGCCTCCATTTTTGTAGATACCCATGCAAAGTTTGGCATGTATTTGAGCTGAGTGATTCCTTTCCCCCTCCATGCGCTGTTTGAACCGATTTGGTTTTGCTAATTCACGTGTCTACTGCAGACATCGCACCTACATCATTTTCTACTGCCTTTTGCCCTGCAGCGAGATGACATGACAACACAGTTTAACCAGATGAGCTTAAGTCGTCAATCATCAGGAGACAACCCTGAATCGCCTTCTGGTCCTGTCTACCCGTCGCCTATCTTGCAGCAGCCTGCCCAGCAGACGGGTTACATTATGGCCTCCCCAAGTCAGCAGCTTCCCCCGGGAGGCTTTACAGGTTCAGGTCCACCAGTATCCCAGCAAGTGCTGCAGCCGCCACCGCCGCCCCAGGGCTTCGTGCAACAACCACCACCACCACCACCTGCTCAGGTAGGCAAAACCTTCGCTGCCAGCTTGGCATGGTGCTCATTAGAACAGGAGAAAGAGAATATAAAAAAATTATCCGGATTCTAGATTATTATTCCTTTTTTTTTTTTTTTCCCCCTGGTAAAAGCTTAGCAGATTATTAGGCAGCAGGAAACTTGCAAAGCCTCTATCGTTTCCTGGGTTTCAGCAACTCCTTCCCTATCCTCAAACCATTTTCCAAACATATGTTCATACTCTGGGACACATCTGCACATGAATATGAAGGAGGAGGGTGAGTAAATATCCATAGTCCTTTTTCCCTGTGTGTGTACCAAAAGAGCAACATGCACATCAGCCCGGGTAGTCGTTAATCATACTTAATTGACTTGAACATGTGAGATGTCACAGATCAGTAATTTTAACTGTCTTCCTGAAGACTGATTATGTTTTACTGTTCGCTACCAAATATCTCTACTTGTCTCCTGGGTACCTTTACAGAATATTGAAAGTGATTACTGTCAAGAAGTAAAATGCACAGATGACTTTCTGGACCATTTTCAAGGCATACACTTTAAAAAGCCAAATTTCTTTATCCAGTTGTAGGTAACTTCATTTAAACTGTACTTTAAAATGGTATTAATAGTATTTCTCCTGTTTTGCATTTTATCCTTTAGAAGAAAGTATATGAAAATAAATTTAAAAAAAACTTCACCCTTTCTTTTAATGTAAAAGTAGTATAAAACCTACTGGGTTTTTTGTTTGCCGCTCCTTACTGAAAATCTCTAGTTGCATTTGTTAATGGGATTCTGTATTGCCACAGTAATGAAGAATTTATACTGTTATAACGTTTTAAGTGGGCGAGAGATCTAGTTAATTACATTACTAATTAACAATAAAAGAATTCTGAAGACTACTGGATGCTCACATCTCATTGACGACTGTGACATCCATAATTTCTGTAGTTGGAAACTATGCAGCCATTTTTTCTGAGAGAAGGGAAGGCTTGCAAAAAAATAATTTTAAGGAGCTGAAGTTCAATATAATGTGATTTAATTATTATTTTTTTTAATTGAAAATATGGCTACAAAAAGATTTCACTGTTTGCCAAATGTAGCATTTAAAAAAAAAAAAAATTGGGAGGAAAAAACGACCTGAAGAGCAGAATTCCCTGATGAATCCATGTGCCCATCTAGACTGTGTCTCCTAAGTAAGTAGAGGCTGTTCAGGCTTCTCTCCTTGTGTACAACCCCCCTGGTGCCCTCAGTGTTTTCAAGCATCATTTAATCAAACCTTACGACACTTCTAGTGAACCGGATAAATGCGAGTGCCTCCGTTTTACAAGCTGTCACGGCAGCAGGCAAAGTGATGCATTTCCCGGCACTGCCGGATGAGGTTTGCTGCGGGGGCTGCAGCATGGTGCTGCTTGCCGCGGCGGGGAGGCTCCACGCCTCCTCCTGTGCCCCCTCGGGTAAGACCAGGTTTGCAGCCCACCTTGGGGTCTCTGCCAGAACCCCCCCTTGCCCTCGGTTGACTTGGCAGAGGTTGCTTCTGCAGGTTTGCCCACAGGTCCTGCCTGCGTGTGGCTGCGCCGTCATCACCTGGGGCCGGAGCGTTGGATGTCACCCTTGCACGTGCGGCAGGGTGAAGGGTTTTTGCTTGATTTGGTATAGTGTTACTTTGTGAAGGTGCTTTTTCCCCTCATTAATACTTGCTCTGGTGCTACTGGAGAGACAGATGAACTTCTTCGGCAGACAAGTGATGAGGAGGAGTCTTTTCATATATAGGCTGCTATATGACCAATATCCTACTGATGAGTCTGATGGCCACTGCGTCTCTGTCTCTACCCCAAATATGGTACATATGGGTGCTTTCCTCCTAAGTTTTAACAAAGTGGAAAGTTACCGAGGGCAGAAAAATATCTTTTGGGGTTGAAGCAACTTCACTTATTTCACTGGGGAATGGTTTGTCCTCAGGGGGTGGGGTGGGGTGGGGGAATGTAGAAAAGTGAGAAATTTGGCACTGTCAGCTTCCTCTGCATCTGCTGCACCGCACGCACTATTCATCTCCAGCTTGTTGCTGTTCCAGAAAATCCTTGTCAGATACCTGTGTGGAAGAGGGTGCGAGGAAGGGGTCAGTCCCTGTTTCTCATGTCCCTGTGCCATGAAAGCGCGGTGGCCTTGGTCTACTGGGAGGGAGAGGGGGCAGCAGCTCTCTGCATCTGCATGCACAGATGGGATCTTGTGATGGACGTTTCAAGTTCTAATTTATTCTTTTCAGCCCTAGAATGTGGCACGGTGGTTTGGATACTACTTGTAGCATGTGTAACATAGCCAATAGGGGATTCCTCTTATAAAAAGATGAGCAAAGCCTTGGGGAAATAGTTCCTCCACCCTAACAGCGCAGCTGTCTGTGCAGGGCAGCTATACCCCAACTCCCTGTCCTGCCCGTGGGAAAACTTCACTGTGGCAGTGGCTGTTGGCAGCCTGAATCACCTGTTACTCTTTTGGGCTTACATGCAATGGTAAGGCTGCTCTCGGATGCCAAAGCAGGTGGTCTAAGGCAGGCTTTAAAAGAAAAAAAAAAAAAAAAAGTGCAATAAAGGACAATAAAAATGGTAATGCATGCAAAACATTCTGTGATGCATTAGTCAATGTGATCAATGTAGAAGTACTTTTATATCTGAAATGTTGCCATTGAATTTATACCGGTAAAAAAGAGGCTTGATTTTAATGGTGAATTACTTCCTGTAAATGCATCGCTGATAAGGTTCTGGTGGGTTGGCTGTGGGGCCCTCTAGGCTGTTGGAAAATATCAGAGTGAGGAAAACTTGGGTGGAAGTCCTGTACATATGGTCCTTTCCTTGGGAAAGGAGGAGAAAGAAATACTCTCCAAACCTGCAAACACAAAGGTACTGCAATTAAATTATTAGCTTTTGTATTAAAGTTCAATTAGACGTGGCTCTACAGCTGCTCTCCAAGATTCTCTCTTCCACTCTGTATCAAAGCAGAAGCAGACTGAGTTAAAAATGACATGCCTGAGAAGTGGTGAGAGGACCTGTTGCATTTCTTTAACTGCTTTTTTCATCACATCTGTTCCCCAGCTTGACAACAGAGTCATGATTTAATAACCTGAAAATAATGATCTGTCTTTGTTCAGACAATTGGGGGGAAAAAAAACCCAAAAACACACAAACCAAAAAACAAAACAAAACCAAAACCCAACCATTACTCTGGGTTTGCTGAAAGGGACTCTCAGCAGCAAATTCCTGTTTGTTTTCTGTATCACAAACAGCAAACATACATCTTTACTTTCTCTATTTCCTTCTGTTTTCAATATTCTTCTCTTTCTGGTGGTTCTTCTATAGCACTTAGGGGCCTGGGCACTTCAACGAGGGTCCATATTTGGGTTTTACAGCACTCTGTCATTGGTGCTTGTCATTGCTCTGCCTTTGCAAACGAAGAGCCGGGAAAACTGAGACTACTATGCCAGTGGGAAAGCATACACTCCCTTTAAAGTTATTTTCACCTTTGACTCATTATTTCTGGAAGCTGTACTGGCAAAATGATGTCTGAAAATAAGATGGCATGAATTCTTGGAGAGTCGGGGAGAAGTAATACACGTTGAGGGATTTTTCACCTGAATTTATTTTGTGTCATCATTGATTTTAGCTGTCTCTTTGTAGAAGCCCTGTCCTAGAGTCCATAGCTACCCTAAGACACAATATCTTTGTTCATAGCATGTCTCCTCTACGAAACTTGTTATGAAAAAGGCTGGGGAGTGCCTGCAAGTGAGTGAGTCTTTCTTTTATGATCTCAGAAGATGATATTGGAGGACATGTCTGTAGTTGTACACAGGCCATTATTTTTTGCTACTGTTGTTATAATTATTATGGAGGACGAGGGGGTAGAGGAGAGAGAAAAATCTTTGAAGGGTGACTGATCCCAGTCAGTTAGATACTGGAAAGTACCGGCACCTCCATGTGTCTGTACATCAATGTGGTTTCTGTTGTCTTCACTCCAACTGTAGCTGCCATTAGCAATAGTGTCAGCCTCACTAATCATCTGGATGAACATAAACTTAACTGGTTTTCAGTGATATTAAGAGAAGGTGGAATACCTGTCTGATGGCAGATCAAGCTGTAAGTCAGTAGGGAGATAGGTTAGAAAAGTAAAATCAACCTGAAGGATGCATGGAATCTTATCCCTACCATGAGGAAATAAACAACATAGCTGTGAATTTAAGGGATGGTCCTAGAGAGCAGCCCAAGGGAGACCCACTCTGGCAATGGGTTTCAAAATGTACACAGACAGAAAAAAGCAGAAAGCCAATGCTGTATTGACTCTCTGTCCATCATCTAGAGAAAAAAAACACATTAGAAGGAGGAAAAAATAATCCCTGTTAGTGCTGGTCCATGAGTGTCTCTGAAGTGATGTGCCTAGTCCTGTTACAGTTTAAGTTCAATAAAGAAAACGATGTACGTGAAAGAAAAAATAGAGATGCATTGGAATGGTCAGCCTACAAATAAGGAGGGTATCCACCTTCAAAATAAGAATATCCAAGGGGTTAAGGATCATCTGTCAACTACTTCTATGGTAATTATTAAGGGGGGGCGGGGGGGAGCAGATTTTTCACAGTGTCAAGGATTTAGATCAAGGAACTATGCTTTTAGACTAAAAAAGAGAGTGTTTATTTATGTTATGGTCTTAGAAGGACATATTTTTAAAATATTTATTTCTTTATTTTTAGGATAACCATATTGGCATGCTTGTCAGTTTAGTGGAAACTTCATCATTCTGTAAACGAAATATGTTATGCAAGCAAAAGGTCCAAGGTTAGATTGTGTGTTCACATGGGAAAGCAATTCAAGTATAATCTGGCATGTCAGTAGGCTGCTACAGAAACGGAATGGTTTTTGTTGAAGAGCACATAAGCAGAGGTGTTAGTATCACTGACGTAATGAGAAACTAAAAAATTCAAGAGGATCAGAGTAGATAATGTAAGTGATACTTGTTGTCTCTGATCCCTCTAATTCCGCTGTTCACTAAAGTAATATCAGAAAGGACAAATAAAGTGTTTCAACTACTGATGTAGAGATGTACTCAAGATAAATGAAAACAGATCCTTCCGAACCCCTCAACCACGAAAGACCTATTTTATCTATGTCTGTATTTTACACCAACCCCTTCTTTTAATGTCTGATCTCTTAAAAAAAAACCCCAAACAAAACAAAAAGCAAACCCCAAACCAAACCTCTTCTTTGCAAGTTGTGTGCATGATTACTAGCAAATTGATCCATTAATCTTTTGAAATTGAATGATTTTTTTTAACCGATGCTCCTACTACTAACATTTTTTCAGGCTGATAGATTACACTCTGATAAGCTTCTAAATGGGTATATAACAAATGTATTCCAATGAATTGAGAAAATGAGAGAAAAGGAGAAAATCCTTTGACCAACTCTGAGGTGTTGTCTGTGTGGTAAAAATAAATACCTGTTTCCAAATAACTCTCAACGCTTCGGTGTACGTATATGTTTTTGTGCTAAGAGTGTTCACTTCAGAACCTATACTCTTTAGGCTATGTTTTAAAGTTAATACCTACAGAATCTTTTCACAAGAGATAATTCACATTGTTCTCATATGCTCATGTATTTTCAGATATCTAGGGGCTTGTCTGCACAAGGAAAATGAGGAAGTTGAGGGTCAATCAAGTAACTTTAAATCCTTCAAGTGAGATTAAACTGCAGCCGGGAGAAGTGAGAGTATTTCCACAGGGGTTTAATATTCTTTAATTTGTAGAATACGGTAATAGAAATTAAAGAATATTTGAGAGGATTTTTGCTCCGTTCCCTTCCTCCAAGGCAGGATCAGCTATTTGCATTGACTTTATTTAGGTTGAGTCTTGCCACTTCTTTCAAGTCTTCTATTGTAGAGGTTTCCACAAGATGAGTTTATCACACTGAATTGCCAGATCCCTTATTTACACTGCTATGATGTTTACAGAGTGATTTTTTTTTTGCACCTGAAATATCTGGGTCAACTTCCCTATACCTTGTGGCTTTTCTTTGCAGAGAAACAAATTCATCGTGATTTTGTCCATTTTACACAGGCATTTTGCTTTTACTATTTTAGTCTTTAACAAAACAAATGACTTGAAGGCAGGCTGTAACCATTAGGTGTCACTTGGTGTTGTCTGGAGGGAGGATAGCTTACAACATTTTCCAGTTGAAACATACCTTGCCTTTCTGGCATATGCTTGAATCTGGCTGATATTACCTGGGTGGGGGGAAAAGAAGAAGAAGAAGAAGAAGAAGAAGAAGAAGAAGAAAAAAAAGCTATGTGATTTCCGTTGATTCAAGAGAAAATGAATACACCTTGGAGAATGAATGGGTATTTAATCTTGTGATTGACAGGTGATATTGACTGTCAGTTGGTCTGAGGGTTTCACTTCACCAACATTGCTGAGCCCAGTTTTCTTGATCCTGATACTTTTCCCACCACGTTTACCCATTCAGTAGTATTCTACTTGCCAAATTGGCCATCCATACCCTCTTCTTGCCTAGTCTTTTGTATCTGTGCCTGTTCTTTCTCATTTGACATCGTCTCTAGGAAAATTTCTGATCTCTCTTATGATGTCCTACCAGTATACAAAAGGATGCAGGTACCTTTACTCTTCTAATACTTTATTTTATGGGTAAACAAGTTAAATGAGCTGTTCCAAGAACATTTCCTCCATGCAAATTAAGGTGGCAAAAATAGTTCTCATTTTTGTATGAAAAAAAGAAAAAAAAAAAAACAAAAGCATTTTGTATGACTCTGTGCATATATATGAGTAGGATAAATGCTACACACAAAGAAAAAAAATAATTGTATGATTTATAAAGAAATGCTGACAGATATGGCAGAAGTCACAAGAGGAGCAACGTTCTCCCAAGCCTTTGGCCTCTGCAGTTTGTTGATATCGCACGCTGCTGAACTGGCACATACCCACGGAATCCACTGCAGCTGAAAATGAAAAATTTTGAGTGCTTTGAACTTTCCAAGGGTCAGTTGAAAACTGTTTAGCTCAAATGTCTCAGTAATGGTGGGGCAGGATGTATAGGAAAAACCTTTAGCTGCAGTCACCTGTAAACTTCCATGTTCGCTTGCTTGTTAAGGTGATGTAGTACACATTGCTCTGTAATGACGATAATAATAGAAAAAAGAAGCCCACCTAGCAGAACTTGCTGACTCAACGCCTACCCTCAGCTCCTGCAAGAAAACAGCTATGATTGTTTTTTGAGCTGTAATTGTATTCACAGCAAGTGTGAGAGAGGCTTTACAGGGAAACGGTCATGTAAGGAAGGATGTAGCTGTTAAACAAAAGCATGAATTTAATAATCGTTTCTTACAAGTGTTAAGGGCACACACGCTCCATCTTTCCCCCTATCTCACTTCTATATATTTTTTACTCCAGGCCATTCTTTGCTTCAAATTGACCATTTTCTCCAGAGTTCACTTAATGGTTCAATATGCTGTCTATATGTATTATGATGATATGGAAGGTGGTGTTTGCATCCACTTTTCTGCAGCATTTGATATTTTACTGTGCTTTTTATGCATCCTTTATGGTTTTGTATCTGTCAATTAAAATTCTTTTTCTTCTGTTTCTTAAAGTATCTGAGAAGAAATTTGGGCACTGATAGCCCTTTTCCTAACAAAGCTGAAAGCAAGCAGCAGTTCTTGAAGAGACAATGCAAACCTGTCCTCTTGATTACTGTTATCACTAATATGCCTGACTTGAACTCTTGTTCCCCTTCCTGTTTTGTTTTATTTTGTGAATCTTTGAGCTTTAAAGTCCGTAGTTAGTTGCTGTTCTCTTTCTTTGCAGATGCCAGTGTATTATTACCCATCTGGTCAGTACCCTACCTCAACAACTCAGCAGTACAGACCCATTGCCTCAGTTCAGTACAATGCACAGCGGAGTCAACAGATCCCACAGACTGCACAGCAAGCAGGTATTTACATCTGTTACTCATTTCTTTAGCTGCTCACTGTGGCTTTGCTGGTGAAACCTATTGGTTGTGTTTTAATTTTGAATTTGAGCAGCAGAGGAAAAAGCTCGTCGCTGTTCTGTTTGAAAATACGCTTAAAATTACAAATTGAGAAACCCTTTGCTTGGAGATCATAGAATCATAGAACGGTTTGGGTTGGAAAGGACCTTAAAGATCATCTAGTTCTAACCCCCCTGACATGGGCAGGGACACCTTCCACCGGACCAAGTTGCTCAAATCCCCATCCGACCTGGACTTGAACATTTCCAGGGATACCGAGCAAAGGAAGAGAGGAGGTTGTGTTCTCCACCACTGCTGTCCTGCACGCAGTGCCATGTCCTCAGTATCCATGCTCCATGTGATGGGTCACGGAGAGAGGCGGGAGGGAACCGGTGTGAGCAGTCACATTGCATGTTCAAGCCAACCGTTGCGGTTTGTACTTCATCATGCAAACTCCCTAAATGGTTTGTAAGACTCTACATAGTGGACAGGTTTGCAGTGATGCAGAAGGGTCAGTCGTGCTCCACCACCTTCTGCTCTCCCTGAGCCTGAGGAGCGGCGAGGTGGTCCGTATTGTTGGTGCCCATCAGGACCAGCTTCCCACAGCGACGTGCGGCTGGAAGGGGGGCCGTTACACTGTAAGAGAGTGAGTAGCAGGTCTCACAGTGAACCGGTCTCTTTTCCTGCTGTGTCATGCCACTCCTGATGACACCAGAGTAAGAGGGACGTAGGCAGCGTTGGGCTGGTGTGTGTTGGGGGAGGGCAGGGCTTGTGCTCATGAAAAGGTCCTCGCATTTCAAGGGAATAAATAGTTCTTCTGGTTTGGAGATTATTTTTTTTTTTAAAAGTTGTTGATTGTGTATTTCTTTAGTGCACACCTTTCCTTGTAGGGTGTCTCAGACAGTAACTCCAAGGTGGTGGGGGGGTATTGTTTCCCGGTAGGGTTTGCAATCACCAACGTGGCAGGTAGGACAAAGCATTCATCTTTATGTCTGGGTTTGGCAGAAACCCTTCTGAATGGCAAAGCACGTTCCCTGCAGAGGCATTGATATGAAAGTGTTTTAACATGCAAGTCAAGAGCCCAGACGTGAGACATGAACAAGACTTATGGGGTCGTCCAGCCTGTCAACCTGTCCCTGTAATGCGACTGCTGGCAATTTTGTTCATGCTCTCTCAGGTGCTCAGGGAAACAAAGACATGGCAAACACAGCTATAACTAAGCAATTGATTACTTTTTTTTTTTTTTAAAAGCTGTTCTACTTTCTAATAAAATGAGTGTTTTGGTCAGTGTTGCGGTGGCTGACTGTGTCTGCTTTCGTAAACTTGTATTTATTCATTCCTGAGAGAGAAAGGGGTGAGAACACTGCATAAAGGTCTTCCGACTTCTGCCTGGCAATCTGGTACCATATTTATTATCTCTGTGTAGCGGGTCTTTGAACCTAAGTGCAAATCAACTTAGATGACATTATCTGGGTCTGGTGTGTTGGCATAAAAACGTATTTATCAATTTAATGCTACATCCATAGCATAGTGGAGATTATGGTAAATGAAGTGCACAAGAGAGGGCCTGAAGCACTTGAGTGATGTTCTGGAGAGTATCCAGCTATTTGATATTGACGAAATCCTAGTTTTAAAAAATATGTCGAAGCACAGGAGCTGTTACATTTGAGTGCAGACAATGCAGAGATGCAAATGCTAATTTTGTTTCTGTGTTTACTGCATTGTTTTCCTTCCATGTTTGGAAAACATGAGTCAAAGAGTTTATGTAAAATCTCTAGCATGTCAGTCTTTCCCTGCTGCAATTCGCTCTTTCAGCTGCCTGCTCAGTTGGAAACATTATTCTTATCTCTCCTTTAAAAACGAAAACATTGTGACTATGGTTTAGGCTCCCTGCTGTGGCAATGATTTTAAGCATTTAGCTATTCTCAGATCTTGAGACTTGGCTAAGAACAGATTCCTCAAGCTGGTTCATCCCTTTGGGCTCAGATACATCCCTTCCCATAACGCCGTCCGAGCATGCGATAGGCATGCCAGGAAGCAGCTTGCAGTTTCCTACAGATCTTCTCTTGGAGATACGGTGTAAGGATCATTCAAATTTATGTTCCACTGCACCACTTGGCATTTGAAAAATAACTACCTTTCCAAAATGTCACAGAATTTGTCCTAAAATAAAAGAGGAATTAAAATATAGGCAAGTATATTATTTTTTGCTCCAGATTTATTGCAGGAAGTTCACTGTAAGCACCAAGACACCACAAACCCAAATGATTCAGTGATGGTTTCAGGTGGTTTCATGCCCAGTGTCGCTGCATCTGCTTTTCTTCCCATGAGCCTGCCCACACACATAGGTTTTGCTCCTTGTGTGCCCTGTGGCCTCAGCCTACCTGCAAAATCATCATCCCTCTTGGTTCCTCTTCAGTGCCCAGTAGCTGCTTGCTGAGCAGGAGACAGTGTAATGGCACCGCAACAGATTGACCAGTGGCACCTAAACAGAGCAATTAACTATTAGCTCGTAACGCAGCCTTTTGAGAGTCAGTCAGGTGAGCTGGGACGAGCCTCTCCTCTTTCAAGCCACTGATTTTTATGAAACTTTAGAAATGTTATGTCTTTGCAGCTTCCATCTCCGTGTCAAACGTGATAGAAATTAGATGACGAGCTCAAAAAGTTACTCTGAGGGTTATTTGAGGGAAAACTGGCAGAGTAATCATGCTCATTTTTCCTTCAGAAACCAGTTGTTGGTTGTTTTTTTTTTTTAAAGAAAAATAAACAAACAAACCACAAAACCACTACAAAAACTTCTAAATCTTCCTAGAAACTTGTACGTGACTGAAAAATAGCAATCAACAAGTGAGCATTTCAGAGCACTTTCCCTTCCCGTGCAGACTTAGCTTCAAATCAGCACGTGAGCAGGTTGTGGCAGGAGCCGGGGATAACTAGGGGCAGGAAAATGAAGACGTGCAGCAGAATAGCGCTGGTGAAACAGAGGATGTTGAGGACGGGAAGGGGGAACAGATGGGAAGGAGGCAAGCAAAAGGATGATTTCTGAAATGGTTTCCCCAAAGACCTCACAACACTTGCTGCTGCTTCGGAGAGGGGATGCCTACAATGAGGGCGGGCTCGTGGGAGCCCACGCTGTCTGCCTGTACTTGCTGGCTGGCTCATACGGCAAGCGGGAACAGGGAGGTAGCCTCAACGTGGCAGCTCAGAAAATGTTTTATTAAAATACAAAAGTTTGCCTGCTTGGAGGAGCTTTTGGAAGCTTTCAAAGCAGCAGCAAGGAGTTCGGCTCTTACTTTCCCCGCTTTGGGCTGCAGAGGTCAAAGTTTGATCTAATGCCAGCAATTTGTTTTCATTTTTCTTAGAAAAGGTCTCTTCTGGAGCAGAGCGACATTGATGACTTTTACAGCAAACAGCTAAAGTAAAATGTCAGCACAGCATCTGTGGTGGCCGAGGGAGCCTGTACTCTCTTGTGGCTCTGGAAGGAGAGCAATATTAAGTTAAAATGGCTCCAGGGCAGAAAAAAAGATGAGCTCACCTAAAATTAGATTAGAGCTCTGATAGCAATAAATCATTTGGAGAGAAGGATAAGAAATTTTTGTGTGCTTATTTACCTTTTCTATTTTTTATTTTTTTCCTTAAGTGCTGGCTTGTATGAGAACATAAGTGACCCATTTCTAGGAGAAGCCTGGTACAAAGAGAGTTGTCCATGAAGATTTTATAAAAATCTCTGCCATTTGAAGTACATTCGTTTCTGTTCAAGCCAAAATGTGGTATCTGACGGTGTGGTAGCATGGTCTGTAAACAGAAATACTTCACTCAATTACATACCATCGTTGTTCTTCTTCATTATGCTTCTTCTGCACCATTCTTGTGTCCAGTCCTGCGCAATGCAAGGTTTTTTGAAGTGTTGCCGTTGAGTGGGGCCAGGGTCCAAGCCGGTGTCTGTCACACCATGGCACGAGTAGGATGTTGTAATTGTATTCTTAGGACATGTTCAGGCAGCTGTTCTCAAAACCATTATGGTCATTTCTCAAACTACTTGGTTATGCTGCTATTAGTCATTTCTGCACGATATAACAGATCATACTTAAGATACTGTGAAATGCCCAGTTCTGTAACCACACAGAAGAAAATATTATTTCTGTACTCCCCTCTAGTAGCACTCTATAAATTACACGTTTAGCATTATCAGTATTTCATTCTTCAGTAATTATTTCTATATTGATATTTTCAAATGCTTTCAATCCTAGTTATTGTGTGAATAGAAAAATAGAGATGTATTGATGATAAATCAGTAATGATTTCTATTTTATCATGATGGAAGAAATCAGCAATGAATGTATTATTTTTATATCTGCGTGTGTATTTTCTTTCATTATAGCAAGTGCTGTGCACTTCGAGGATTTTTTGTCTTTAAAGTGCTTCATAAACATGAGCTGGATAAGTACATGAGTATTACTTTGGGATATGCAACTATTCACAAATTAACAAGTTGCAACAAATTACATGATTTTCTCCTACTTTGGTTCATTGTTGTATGTCTTCCAGATATTTCCATAGTTCAAGAGAAATGTTATTGATAAAATAATACTTAGATTCTTGTTTGGGCCATAGTTCTAAAAGGCAGTTGGCTTGGTTGACCACACAGTTGTAAGGTAAAAATCTGTGGCATGTGTTTTGCATCAGCAACGAAGATCATCTTTTAAGGAGATTAAAGCTAGACCTATAGTATTCAGTTGAAAAGTCTTCCAGTCAGAAGTTTACACTGTAATATTTCCAGAGAAAATAAGATGGTATTTGGCATAATTAGATGGTCTTTAATTTCTGCAATTAATGTAATGGTTTTAGGATTTCTCATTTGAGAATCAACAAATGTTGCCATTATAACTTGTTTCAGTGCCCAGACAGCACGGGAAGGCTCAGATTGCATAGGAAATCTCTGCTTTTTCCTACAAGCAAAATAG